TCATATTTGTTAAATCTATTCAAAAAATGCGAAAATATTTCAATGTAGCATCTGACTCATAGTATCAAACTCAATTTAAAAGTTTTTTGGAGCTCACTAGATTTTATTGTAGATTTGTGAAAATTTTTGCTTGCCCAGGTTTTGACATCTATGCTAGGGATAGACAAAAAATTTGAGATGATTAAACATTAAGTTACAAATTAAGTATAATAATAGACTGCAAACTGTAAAAAAAATGGAAGGATAGATGACATTTAGTTGCTTTATATTTTCAAAAGTTGATGACAGCGGAACAAAATTACCACACGATAAAACAAGAAAAATTAGCAATTATATTGGCAATAAACACAGAAACATTAATTGGCTGATAAGCAATTTATGATGAAGATCAATCATGAACAATTAGTTTATCCAAAAAACTCAAAAGAATATGTATTTACGATGAATCTTATGTACTGTAAGACAAGTTGTTGTATGTGTGTTATAATATTAGAAATAGTCAAGAAGTGGAGTATGATTAGCCTAGACATAGTTAAACTTAGTTATAATTAATTTTATCTAACCAGGATTAAATTTAGCTATAATGTCTATATTTGGAAAAATAATTAGAATTGTTCTAAAAGATTGTAGGAGTAATTCTATTTTATTTTTTACAAAACTCTAGATTCTAAAACAAAAGACTTTTGATTACAAGATAAGATTTGATAAGTTTGACTTAGTGTATGAAAGATCATTGATTACACTAAGATTAATATTGATTTAGAGGTAAGGTAAGCTTTTGGAAGTTTAAAAGCCTCCAATGGCATGTTGCCACCTAAACCTCGGGATTGAAAAGCTTGTCGAAGGTTTAGATAGGCCAATGACATGTTGCCATGCATGGAGAGTTATTCAAACATATCAAGATTTATCTTAGTGAAAGTAAGTTAGAAGATAATAATCACATGCTACTATCGTAATTTCTCAAGTAGTATAAGTAGAGAAGTAGAGATGAGACTCTCTAGCAAGTTTGAAGAGTTTATGTGTAGGGATTTGTTTCATATATAAAAGAGTGACGTTTTTTAGCATTTTAGAATGTCAATGTGAGTGTGAATTTGAGTGATAAATTGAGAAAATGTATGATAGGATGTTTGGATTATGAGTATAAGGAGAAATAGTAGACTTCTGAAACCATGATGAGTTACCCAAAGCCATCTGAGATAGACTTGAGTGAGAGTAAGCTCGAAGGTTGTAGTACAAAGTGACGCCAATGCTTCAACATGAAGATTGTGTATGTGGAGAGCAAGAAGCAACTTATGTATGCATTCACAAGCATGTCTTGTTTGATTCATGTTGCATAAATGAAAATTTAAGTAGATTGGTGAAGCAGGATGACACGAGCCACAAAGGAGTATGAAGAAATCACTCGAGCATTACAAACTCAAAAATCAAAAAAATCTCAAAGTTTAGTAGTCTAGAATCAATGTATATAGATACCACAACACAATGATTTTTGCCAAAAGTCATGACATAGTCATTGCAAGTCACGTGGAATACATACAATGGGTCTATTATTGGTTCACATATAATAAAATGTGAAGACTTACGTTTTAAGTTATGTTGCTTGTTAACAAAACAAGACAAGTAATAAAAAAATATTTCGTATATCATAGCTTTTTTCTATTCTTGAACATCAATGAAAACATCTCACCATGTATCTTGTATGTGAATTACTAAAAGTTTAGTTATGAAATGATTAAATGATGATTGTTGTGAACAAATTGATTAGAATTGAACATAAGAAGTCCATTCATAATAATTTCAATTCTACAACAAACTCAATTATATCTACACGTAGTTTTTATGAATCATGGTTTGACCAAAGTGTTAATCGCGAATAGAGATACTCAATTATTTAATTTAATTTGGAAAGAATTGTTTAGTTTTTTCAAAATAAAACTAACAATGTCAACAATCTATCACACTCAAATTGATGAGCAAACAGAGAAGACAAATAGATCGGTAGAGTATATGCTATGAGCATTTACATTAGAAGAGCAAGGAGAGTGTAACATATTTTTTATTCTTGTGAAATTTTCATATAACAATCTTGTCAATTCATAAAAATGTTTACATTTTATCTCAAATTTAAAACTTATCTTATAATTCATTTGAAAGGGTTTAAAACAATCTTATAATTTGAAGCGATTTCTTAAAGTAAAGTAGTTTTTTACAAAAATTGTACCAATTAACAAGTTTGTGAAGCATATTCACAAAGTAAATTTTAATCATCTTTATTTAGTTAAAATTAAAAAAATTTCAAGATTTAATAAAATAGATAAGAGTGAAATATCTATAATGTCATATGAACAATCTTTGCGCTAATTGAAAATGATATATCATCAATATTTATGTTCGTATGCTAATTAGGCATAATCATTATGTCATTAATATATTTAAAGAAGATTGATTGTGAAAAAAATATTTTATTTTTATATGTATTTGAAATATCATATAAAAAAATTGAAATCAATCAAGATATCCCATCTTCAAAGTTTGTGTTTTATATTATCTAAACTCCAAATTACATTTCCATGCCCAAGAGCATTTGGACATTTGGTTGATAAGACATCTTCGGTACTCATCATAGGATCTAAACCCATATCCAAGGTTTAGAAGCCGCAATTCCAGATTCACTGATCGAACGAAACGATTTTGCCAAAGAGTGAGAGCACCATCGAAGTCTTGGCTAATGGAGTCAAACTTTTCTGATATTGATATTCCACTTGCATAGATATATTTCCGAATGGATTTCGAAAAACACTCCTGCAATCTTCAAGAAAACCATCGAGGTGGCAGAAGCCCCGAGCAGGAACGATCTGTCTTGATGCGTACACCCAGGAGGTTGTGACATTCTGGACAAGGTGGCCAAAACCCAGATATTGAAGCCGGAGAAGCTGGAGGTGGCAAGAGATGTCCTCTAGTAATATGGCAACATGTCAGCAACTTGAGTGCTGTTCGTACTCAGATCATATGAGGAGGCGATCGGCCGATAAGTATTTCAGCACCACTGGAGAAGGAAGCGATCGGGGAGTTTTGTTACGATTCGGAACAGGTCTGATCAATGAAGTCTCTGGTTTGAAAGCTATTGCCACCGGTCGGTGAACTTCTGAGTTCAGACAGATCAATCAGGAGCTCACCCCTGAAATTATAATCCTCTCGTCCGCAGTTACGAGAACACCATGGCGTTGCATGGTTAGGAACCAGTACGCTCAGTAGTGAAGCCTCAAAGAGTCTTGAAGGCACGTGCAACTTGAAGCCATCATATCATTCGTATGTGGTCACACAAGAGGATTTTGCTGTCTTCTGAGAACGTAACGGAAACCAACCATGAAGGTAGATCACAGCCCAAGACATCAATCGTTCTCTCACACCTTTGAGTTATTGTTGTCTCGAAGGAGGAGCTGATCGAGAAGTGTATCTTATATCGACTGTACATAGAAAGCAAAGCTCCGTCAACTTGCAAACACTCCTATCTGAAGCCGTATTCAGAATCTCTATTATGCAATCTTTTGGAGAACATGTCGAGATTCTATGGATGTTCAAAATCAGATACATTATCACCTTAAATCATCATTATACATCAATGTCTGATCTCCAGGTTGCAAGTGATATACAAACTGCAATCGTGCTTTCATGGAGTAGTCAGATGTTGTCACAAGTTGATTTTCTCGTCATGAAAGCTTTAGATAATATCATCATTACTTAAATTGATGCATCATCCGAGTATCGTGTTAATAGTATATAGTTATATTTTACACCACATCTACTATATCTGATTCTTAATACTCTAAATATATTAGATGATATTAGAGATATGTGTCCTGATACTCTCTCGATCCAGCCCCTAATTTACGGTTGTATTGTGTCTTCTTGAGTTTGATGAGATATTCTCATTGTTCTTCATTTCCATGTCGCCATAATTGAAAAGTTTTGCGCGACTTTTTGGCAAGAGATGTGAGACTCCATCATTATGAGTTGAATTCGCTTGGATTGAAAATCGCAATGGTCTCTCAAACCCCTGCAATATAAGCGTGGGATTTCAGGTTTTGTATTCCAAATATTGTAACTGTATGTTGTATTTTCATATTTCTGTATACCATTCTTCTCGATATTGTTCACCGTGTAAGTCGGTAACGCACTCTTCATTGGATTCCATAGATGTTTGTGTGTAACCCTCTTTTTGTATGTTGTATTATTATATTTCTGTATACCAAACTTCTCGATATTGTTCACCGTGTAAGTCGGTAACGCACTCTTCATTGGATTCCATCGATGTTTGCGTGTAACATTCTCTTTGGATACAATGATTCGATCAGATTAATAGAATATGAAATGCACAAGACATTTCTCGTCCATGTTTGCAATAATCGTTTCTTCTTCAATTTATAGAAAACTGGAGTGTATAAAGGTTATCTAAGCAGAATTCAATGGCCGAGAATGAAAGCTCAATAGGGTTATAGAACTGAGAAACGAACAAAAACGGCTCAGGAGCATTAAGTATGTACCGAGCTAAGTAAGATGTAAGAAATATCAGAGAAGTTTAATTGGGTCCTGAAGCCTTGTGTGTTGTTGTATCACTAACTCGTGTTAGTGGAACTGAAATTTCCAAGCAAGAATCGACCATTTCCTTATAGGATCTATCTGCTTGCCAGTCACTAGAGGGGTTATTCTTGTTAAAACATAGAATTGCAACGTTCAAGCATTCAAATGAAGTTTCCTAATACTTCCTTTCTTACGCCAATCTGTGAGCTGGTGACATTATAAAAAATACTGGGCTTCAGTCAACCAGGTCATTTTGTCATACTTCAGTTTATAATTCTGTTTTCTCAATGGTCATGACATTTCACCGGTTTTTTCTGCTGAATTCAATAGCCTTGATAGATGACAGTAATAGGGCCATATGTATTGAGTTCGCACACAAGCTTTGCCCATGGTATATTTCGACTTCATGAGAATATGCTCTTGAAGTTCGGACCGTCAGAAGTACAGGGGTTTGGTGGATAGCCTCCAGAGAAACACTCAATACAAACTGACACTCAATGAAAATTTAACACCATTTTATACAAGACAAATAAAATGCTCTGGATCAAAAATCTTTCGGAGGGAACTCTTAAATCTGAGACTACCATGTAAATTACCTACAGACCTACAAGTGTAAACTAACTGAAACTTGATTCCCTGGATCTGACTACATCTCATCGTGATGGTACAACTGGCCGGCCTGTAATCTATGATACACAACAAAACTAGTTGTTCAGGACTCTCAAGGACAATGTACAGAGCGAACAAAAATGGCCAGCTTCGGTTCGAAGTTGAGTCACTGGCTCGTTCATGTGAGGCTAGGATGTAAATTGAAAGGGTGTTGGATGAGGAGCTGAAACCGTCTTTCGTCTATCTCCGCTGTAAATTCTTGTTCAGACGAAACACAGACAAAGTCTGCGCAGTTTGCAGTTGATACGTTCTAGGTGTACCTGAATTGATTTCCAGTCTAGCAACTGCCAATCCAAGTCTCTCATCTTCCTGTTGAAGCTTTTACCTTTTTTTTCGTCTACGGATGCAGGGACAATTCAGCATATCCCGACAGCCGGGGAAAAAAAAGATTTTTTTGGCGCGTATAACCTCAGGCGTTAACTCCATGGTTACTGCTGAAGAGGATGTGAGCCACTTATGAATGGTCTGGAGGTATTTCATCATGATTCATGTCTTCAATGTTCTCGTCGATCAATCTCCTCATCTTGCACTGAAGGCTCCTTCGCCGCATATTGGACTACTTGCACCCGGCGACATTGTACATGGTCTGGATCATATTCCCCCGAACCACTACATGCCCTTTCCAATTGGAACTTTTCGACACCCACCGAATTTTCGCTTTGTGCAGCAGGCTCTCGACTTTCCGCCTCGCTGGATGTGCTTTGCTGTCCATGTTCAGGGAAAGTACCTCTCATACGTCCCAATCCATTCTGTTCCAACGATAAACCACTCTTCGATAAACTAGACATTGCATCATTTCCAGATTCACCTTGATCGATGCAAGGTTCTTGTTTATAGATATCATGCGTTCCATTGAGTCTCAGACGTCTAAGGTCTCTCAAAATCGCTTCCTCTTGGGCATGTTCCTCCTCTGAGTGTACATTAATTGCATCCTTAGTTCCCTTGAACTTCGGGGACGGTGAATTTGTAGCGATGGTGTCCTGTGCGATAAAAGCCACCGGTCTGTTGTCAGCATTCTTGATTTCTAAATCTCAACTAGAACTCAATGCTAGAGCACTTCAACTTTTCTTCTCGTTTTCTTAGTTGGGCGAGTAACTGATGATTACCGTATCTATCTGGATTGTCTTCTCCTCCACCTCGACGGATTTTGATGAGTCTGATTTCTTCATCATTTCCTCCGAGGAAAACTGTATCTGCAGATGTCAAGATTATACAACAGTTAAGCAAAAGGTCAATACAAGCTCGTAAATAGTTCACAGTACTGTCTTCGTAATTCTGGACTACAGCGAATTACCTAAACTCTGGTGGCAAACAAAGCGCGTATGCGATTTTGTCGCCCCGTCCTGGTTCTCGGTTAGAAATTGTCTCTCTACACCAGAACAATTTTGGCACAAATGTGACAGAGTATAAAGGAGTACCTTGGCTCTGGTTAGATCAGCACCAATGCTTGAGAGGATAGTGATAAGCTGCTTGAAATTGTCTTCAGTAGGACGATAGTGTCCACTATGTGCTTCTACTAGCTGCAGACACGAAAATGCAGACTAGTTTAGCCGTTGTCAGAGGCAAGAGCTGGCAACAATGAAATGTGATGTTACAGAGATCCATCGATCAAATGACTTGAAGAGAAATGACTTTGTCTCCAACGTACAAGGAGGTATCGTATAATTTTCTCAAAGCAGCCTAAAAAAGCTCGATGATCCTTTTAGCGGCATGAGTTGAGTCCTGAATAATCACCTTAATGATGCCATGTTTGACTCGCAGCCTTCCTGCAGCCGTTATTGCAGCTCCAGCCAGAAAACTTGAGTGCTGCAATGCGCCCTTTTCCTTCTGCTCAAGTTCCACAGGCACCACAGTTGACGAACAGTGGCAGCAAATTTCTGCACTATTGACTACGGGCATGTAAAACGCGCAATCCACGCAGCAGCCATTACATCTAAAAGGTCCTTGCCTCTACGATTTTCAGCTGGAAAGACTGATGGACCTAGTACATGGATGATCGTTCTAGTATTATTCCAAGAAGACGTCAAGAGGCAACGACTTCGTCGACCAAAAACATCCACCTATTCAACTTGTTGAGGTTCTCTTCCTACCTTCCCAATATAAAGCACGCCGCTGGTGCTCATGACAAAGATCCATTTCTCCCCTTTGGTGGTATTGACGGGCTCTCTGGTCTCCTTATATACAAGCTTTCCCTCTTCAACCACTACCTCATAATGCTCTCTTTCTTTCTGCGCATTCAAAGCCAAGTAAGTCAAAGAGTTCAATGATCTTGCTCATTAACCAACATAAGGTGCATGAAACGGTGTTTTTCCCAGCAGACCTCTTTCGTATTTAGATTGCAATGTATAGTGCTTATTATCTAATCTCTGATAGTGGCCTGATCACCCGGTGGCCTCGAGTGAAGTCTTAGTGGAACCATTATTCTGCTGAATTTGACGCATTATTTGACCCAGCCACATGAGACATGCTGAAGGGACTTAGGGCTTGAAAGGACGTACAGGACTTAGATATCTGATGCGCTCATTTTGTAGAGTTGCTTTGGTACACATCTCCAAGTCCAGATCTTTTCCTTCACCCGAATCCAGCCTGCATAGCGCAACTTTTTCTCGTGAGTGAACTGGGCAAAGATCCAGCGTCAATATAAGCCCTGAAGGCGGACTTCGAGGTAACGCCTGTTATTTGGCTCTAAATCTACAAGCTCAGAGTCTTGATCTTGAACTTGTACACGAATCTCAGAAACAGACTGAAACTTGGTATCAGTCGTCACAGTTAGACACCATTCAGTACCATAGATTGCTACTACTAGATTGACAGATTCAGAAGTGGGGACTTCTTGAAAAACAGAGTTGTACAACTCCCACATTACCAATAAAAAAAGGGCTCTTTGGTTTTGCTGTGGCGCCATTCTTCGAAGTAAAAGCGAAGATTGTGTCCATATCGATGCTGGGGGTCTATCTGCACGTAGAATAGGATTCACGGGTGAGATTTTTTCACAAATTATCCCACAACACATTTTAATTCAAACTGAGTAAATGTTCAGCAGGAAAATCAGGGGTTCCCACTTTTGCGACTTGATATGGCACATGGAGTGATCGGATTTTTCAAACACGAATAAAATTACATTTAACTTATGTACCATAATCATAGTCTAAAGTGCAGTCCAGATGAGAGCATGCTTACCGCTTCCAGCCAATGTTGACGGACAAGTTCCTTGCCTTTCCCATTTTTAAAAAGCCCTTTTCCCACCTGCACTTGAAAAATTGGAACCCACGTGTTGATAATGTGAGTGATTTGACTTGTTACACGACGATCGTAAATCCTACTTTCCTCTGAAAACTAAAAGCCGAAGAAAACATTAGCTATTCAATCTACACGCACGACTACCGGAGGTCACAAGAGTCACAACTAATGTGGATGAGTAAAATGCAAATTACCTTTGCAGCTTTTTTTTCCAGTCTCAACCACCGCTGCGAGACATCTTGGGGTTTGTTACTCGAGAAGCGCTGGAGCATGACCCCATCGACTACATTCCACCTGCAGAATCACAGCAGCAGGCTCAGAGCTCAAATAAGTTGACACGTCTCTTCATTTCTATCCAAATATCGATTGCAGTAAGATGGTGCAGCATCAAGCTGCGTGCTCCGTGCCCTGAACTCTCAACATTTCTAGACGCGGACCTTCGGAACGACACCTTTAAGGACTGAGACCAGAGCAGCGAACTCACCAGCCGAATTTGGGAGTCATCGATGCTACATCAGCGACCATAAAGCCGTCACCGAATGAGTCGGCAAAGCTGTGAGAGCTCAATCCCCCTTGATCCAGAATGTCTTCTACAGTCTGTTCTGAGGGCAATCCACCGCATGTCCGAAACAACGAGCTCTGCGTGACCAACCAGCCACTCCCTATCAACAAAATGGCCCGTCTAGCACGCCATCGACTGTGCAACGTGTTGAGCTCTAACCCAAACCCCCACTCCACTCTCCCCAGCTATCACCAGCTATCACCAGCTATCACCAGCAGGCAAACAAACCAGGAACTGTGGCTCGTAAGTGCAGGTGAATGAACGCAAGGCAGCCTAGAACGAAATCGAGCGCAAGTCTGGACGCAGGCTCTGTTGTACTCAGTCGGATTCTCTCGAGGCCTGCCACTAGACTCAAATCTCGGTGGATTTCTCGAATATCTCCCTGCGCATCCGAGCCGATGCTGCACGAAGATTCTTCGGCAAGGGGGACAGAGAGAATGCGGGCAACAGACGCGAATCAAATTGGACAAGCTAAGGGGTCGCGAAACGCGGACATGATGGCTCCTTTTACCATTTTCGGGCCCAATCACGCTGGCGGACGACACACGGTTGCAGAGCAGGCCTCCTGTTGCTTGACGAGCGTCTTTTCCGTGCCCCTACTTACTCTCCGACTATCCTTGGCTCGTCTCGATTATCCTTCGCGATCGCAGTCCACCGCTCGCCTAAACACCCTCCTCCCCTCACCAAACATAGACTCTCAGACCCCTGGACGGTCAACTCAACTCGACAGCGCAGGCAGTTGGCTCCCCACCCCTCTCCTGCCTTGCATGGACGTCGTCTACGTATGCGTCGACCAATTCAGAGATTCTCCAGTTTGTGCGTCCTTCTGCTCTGCAGTGCATTCCTCAGCTGGTGGCTGACTTCTGATCTCATGCGCCTCCCTGCCTTCCTCCTTCCTTCCCTCCCTCCCTCCCTCTGCTCCCCTCGCTCTCGACGGTTTGTGTTTCCTACGTCCCAAGGCTCTGAGCTCCGTCACTCTACGGATGATACGATGCTTGAATCCTCCTCGTACTCATATTTCCGTCAAGCGCCAGCACGCCAGCTCGAGAATCACCTCAAGCTCACCACCGATCGCGGGCACCAGCCCCGTCCCTCCCTCCCTCGTTGCAGCAAAGTCCGTCCAAGGTGTGGGAAAAGATGCGGTTTGCGTGTCTGTCTCGAATGTCGATCAGCTCGAAGCCATGAGCAGTTTCGTGAAGAGCTCTAGAAGCAAATTCTTTCTTTTACCCCATCGATAACAAACCGTCGGTCGGAGTAATTGTGCTCCATGTGGCGTGATTTTGGACGAGTTTATTCGCGGGCTCGATGGAGCTCGGGCACATGTTCGAGCCGAAAACGTGTCGATAGTGGTAACAGGTTTTGGACACGTCGCGGTGCCTTGTTTGTGAGCGCGTGTGTGTGACTAATTGTTACTGGCCGACGATGTGTCGGAACACGAGCTCCGTCGGTGGGCAGAGCAAAGCATAGCAGAAGCCGTCCTCTGCCGTCGAGCCTCAGTCCCGTAATTTTCTGATTGGAGTTCCATGGACCGCCCATGTGCCCAGCCACGAAAAGTGTCTCGAGAGACCTTTTGGCCCCGGCCTGGTCTCGCTCGGTTAAAATGTCCGAGGGCCTCTTCGTCAACTCGTTCCCGCTCCATTTCCGTATTATTACCATCTCTGAGTTATACATCTATCGTCCCTACACTCGTCACCCTTATTGTCCTTCAATCCCCATCGCATCACCATGACGACCATGCTCGTAGTGCTCCCTCGAAGTCCGGGACAATATCAATCCAGTGCTCACACCTTCCGTGGCTCCGAATGAATGCAAAAGAGAGAGAAAGAGAGCGAGAGAGACAAGAGTGAATTTCACACTCCCTATCCGAGACAAAGTATTGTAATTGCAGAATTTGGAACTGTAGTCCACGATCTACTGTAATCCATTTGGGCTCCTGGCCCGTGATCTTTGGTGTCGTCTTGTTCGTGTTGTGTGTGTGTTAATGTCACGTAAGTGTCTTCTTCCAGAGTTGGTGAAACTCCGCACGTGACGTCGACGCTAGATTATGTGATTTGGAACTTTTGGAGCTTTTGCTTTGGCGAGTGGAGTAGGGAAGGAGCGAGCTTCACACAATTCAGAATTTCCGTCCACGCATATTTTCGTCTGGAGTGTGTACAACGCGTTACAGAGACAGCCGGACTTGCGCCGGCCAAAGAATAAAATATTGGCTAATTACTCTACTACCCCTACTGTCCTAAAATTCCACACTCTACTGACTGAAGAATGACTTTGGGCCCCTTGATCCCCTAGCGCCGTGCGTGCGCTCATGGCGAGCGCTCGCGATGGCCGGACTGATATTTTGGCTCTCACAGATGCCACCTATCCCAGCCCCTCACAGGACCATAAAGCTGAACGACTCGAGCCGACGCGCAAGCTCGCTGTGGATTCGACGTCAGTCACTGGGTTCTAACTACCGAACCATGCGCTGGGAAGATCTCCGTGCCTGCACCGCACCGCATTGCATTGCATTGCATGGCAAGGTTTCCTGCCCCTAAAGTTCGACCGACTTTTGTACAGTAATGAACCGAAAGAATGAGCAGCTGAGCCTCGGAGCTGCTGCTCGGGGGACTCAATCGATGGAAGAGTGACGAATTTGCTGGTGGGAGCATCCGGACTCGACGTGGGCCTGCAGACTGAGCTTGCGAGTGGCATGGCACCAAGCGTCGTAGCAGGGTTGGAGATTGGGCCAGTCCGAGGAGGACAGCGCGAACTCCTGGAGCCAGATGGCGAGGATCACCTCCTGGTCGGATTCGGGAAGAGTGCGGATGGCCATGTCGAGAGTCGACTCGACCTCGGCCTTCTCGGCGGTGCTGAAGATGACGCCCTGGGTCGCAGTGCAGAAAAGCGGCATCCAGAGCAGCAGCAGCTTGAACCTGACCTCGCGGGTCACCTCGATGCGCCCCGACACGACCTCGCGGCCCAGCAGAGCGCACAGGCGCACCAGCGAGCGCTGCACTCGGGGCGACGCCGACAGGGCCAGCGACGCCAGCGACCCCGACGAGCTCCACTGCTCGATGCCCTCCTGCAGCGCCGAGCACTCGCCCATCTTCTCCGCCAGCCACAGCAGCTCCTTGCCCAGCTTCTCGGCGAACTCCGCGTTCTCGCCCGAGTCCACGGCGCTCGCGGGCGCCAGCCCCTGCCCCGATTGCACCGCGGGGCTCAGCAGCAGCCCGAGCCTCGACCGGATGAGCGCCAGCGGAGGAGGCAGTGGCAATGTCATCCCGGCGGTGGGAATCAGGCTCATCATTCTCATCGGCAAGCTCCACCCCGCCCCTCGCTTCTGCTGCTGGAGCCCCGTCAGCGATTCGTTCAGCAGAGTCAAAGTACGCTTGAATCCTGCGCCCAGAGCCGATCGGTTGACGGCCTGGAATCCGTGGCCGTGGGTGGAATTCTCGTAGATGATCTTGTCGGCTAAGGATCGAGCGAAGGCGTATTTTCCAGACGACGCCGGGAGGTCGTTGACGAGGGCTAGCACCTGGAGGAGAGATCGGCCGATGGCGCCGTTCGACATCGACATCGACATGGTGGTTCCGACATGGTCCTGATCCTCGTGCGCTGGAGTCGCCGACGGGTTGTGGCCGATGGACTCCAGAGCGCTCGTGAGCCCGTAGAGCTCCAGCCGGGGCGGCAGAAAGTGCAGCAGCAGGCGTGCGAACCAGGCCGTCGTGTACATGAACACCATCCACAAACTGCGCACATGCTCCACTGCGTTCCACTTTTCCGAGAAGAAGTTCAGCTTGTCCAGATCCAGCTCCCCCTTCTCCGCCTCCGAGCGGCTCGTGCTCATCGACTCCATCCCCACCGCCATCCCCAGACACAAAGGCCCAGGCGCCTCTTCTCCTCCCCTCCCTTCCCTTCCCTTCCCTTCCCTTCCCTTCCCTTCCCTTCCCTTCGATGAGTGCTTGAATTGAAGCTCCGAATTCCAGTCTCTGGAGAAATCAAATCACTGGCCTCGACAGAAACTCCTCCGGTGCAAAATTCGTTTCCTTCCTTCCCTACGACGAGTGCTCGAATTTAAGCTCCGCAATTCCGGTCTCTGGAATAACCGAATCACCGGCCTCGACAGAAACTCCTGCGGTGCAAAATTCGTTCAGTCCCCGGAGCCTTTGCCCCCGCCGACCTCATCATGGTCCGGGTCTCGCACCGCAGGACGAGGTGGCCTTGGGGAGGGGAGTGGAGTGGAGTGGAGTGGAATCAAGGGCGAAGCAACGTCGATTCGCACGGAGCTGCTGAGGGAAGAAGAAACTCGAACCTCGGAACCCGGTCAACGATGGCGTCGATGATTTCGTCCGCCTCGTCCGGAACCTGAGTCCGGACGATCCGAGTCTCTCGCAGGATCGCCCAACGTCCAACACCGCCCCCGGGCACCGAGCACCGAGCACCGAGCCTGAGCAGTAGCGGTGGCGGCGGCGAACTTCGGCCCCCCCTCCCTTCCCCTCCCTCGGAACGAGCTTTTCCTCGGATTTGTCGAGAATCACGCTCCCCGCTAAATCTCTCACTAGCGACAAAGATACGGCATCTGGAGATTATCCTCTCCCTGATTCCTTATTGTTCTCTTCGCCAAATTTAGCGACCGCGGTAGCCACGGAAGGGGGTTTCTCCTCCGGCCGACCCAGGCCCAATCGCCATTAGCCGCTGCTCTAAGACCGCCATCGGAACGCTTTGGCTGCCGAAATCTTCTCTCGGAGATTGCTTAACCAGCGGATCTGTAATTATACCGATGGATCTCAAGGAATGAAACCCGGGGGTAGGAAAGGGTAGAGAGGCCGGAGGCTCGTACGTGAGAGCTGTCGTCTGAGTAGTACGGACGGTTATTTACGGCGCACAGTTGGATAACTCGGCGCTTGGTACAGGACGACCAGGTGCATATCGGACGATGCTCGTTTAAAGTGACCGCTATTGCGTACGGCTCAGATCAACCGTCGATTGTAATTACGGTTTCATAAGTACACCATCGTGGTGTAGTTATCGGTGGGCATCGTACCCTCCGCCATACTGACGGTTTGCCCGTCTTTACGGGTAAATGGGGTCGGCGTCAGGGCCCCATGATCAGACAAATTAATTTTTCGAGCTTATGTTTTGTTTATAAGCAAGTGACGCTTGATAATCAAGATTAATGCAGATTCGCCTACTGAAATTTTTGACGAATTCCAGAAACCCCAATTTTTCGAGCTTCGGCATTTCGACTGGGGGCCATTCGACGACCATTCACGGCCCACTGATCGATCCTTTCGGCTGTCACCATTTGCGAGTTCAGCAGCGCAAGTCTGGAGAATCGCAGACCACGTAGGCCATTGGATTTTCGGAGCTCTATTTTGTTCCGCGTAAACACCAAATTATGATTCTACGGTCTCTGCTAATTGTGAACGTGACATGCAGTTTCCTGCTTAGAGACAGACATTCCCCGGCAACGAGACACATGCTGCGGTTAGGACTCCAGGAGTTTACTGCAACGAGGACCAAAACAGCTTTTCTCGCTACAACTATTGCGTGTAATGTCACCCACATCTATGCTCTTGCATTGAATCAGATGGCGTAAACCGAATCCCATACTCCCGAATTACTCCCAGAGTCGGTCCGTCAGTCGGCACATCAAGGCCGGGGGAATCCAATGCCCCTCTGAAGCTCGACATCACTGTCTGCCGGATCCTGCTGGTTAGCCTATTCTCGAATCTCCGCGCATCCGCCCCACCTCCAATCTTCACGGCCGACCGAAATTGCCTAAACGAAGATCCCCATACGTAGGGCTTATTTTCGGGGGTCTTTCGTTGCGAAGAAGCGCTTTCCCGCCAGGGATTTCGGGCCAGATTTTCGCCAGCTCCAGCAACGAGCTGTTCGATCAAAAGATCCTCTGCAAAACTTTCTCCGGAGGCACTCGAGTCGAGTCGAGTCGAGTCGAGTTCAGGTTGAGGGCGGCAGGGCGAGGTGCTTGATCACTCGGGCGGGATTGCCCGCGGCGACGACATTGGAGGGGATGTTCTTGGTGACCACAGAGCCGGCCCCGATGGTGGTGTTGTCGCCGATGGTCACGCCGGGGCAGATGATGCAGCCGCCACCGAGCCAGCAGTTGTTGCCGATGGAGATAGAGAAGGCCAGCTCGGGCCCTTTGTTGCGCTCGTGCGCCTCGACGGGGTGGGAGGCCGTGTACAGCTGCACTTTGGGGCCGAACTTCACGTTGTCGCCGATACTCACCCGCGCGCAGTCCAGAATCACGCAGTCGAAATTGGCGAAGAATCTCTTCCCGACGTGGATGTTCAACCCGTAGTCGACGTACAGTGGGGGCTCGACCAGAGTGTCGTCGCAGCACGACCCGAACCACCGCTTCAGAATCTGGCTCCTCGCCTCGAGCTCGTCCGCGCCGCTCTCGTTGAATGCCTGCTGCAGCCGCCGCCCCTTCGCCCTCTCCTCGACGTGCTTGGGGCTCACCGCCGTGTACAGCTCGCCGTCCAGCATCTTCTGCCACTCGCTCTTTTCCATCGCTCCCCCTGCTACTGTTCGGTACCACACACACAAGCTCTCCGCGGCTGACGCTCTTCGACGAAGAATGATGTTGCTGCTGATGACGACTACGACTGAGGAGGAGGGGCAAGAAGTCCTGCGAATTCGAGTAGCAATCGATTTCAGCTGCTGCCCTGCTGCACCTCGAAGCCCTAAAAATTCTTCACTTCTCCCCAGGCGGATTGGGACCCGACGCAATTCAATCAATGCCAATAACGATCGAGTCAGAGAAATTGTCAGTGCCTGCGCAATCGGCAGATCGGCGCTTCGTGCGGAATCGTGCCCAGCGCAGAGAGCAAGAACTTGCGGAACCTGATTTGTGGAAATCGACGGCCTGATCCGCCTTCCGTCACATGAACCTCTTCATCGCTCGCCGATTGCCGAATTCTCGGCCGTGCTCGATTCCAATCTTATTTTATGATTCAATGGGATGATTATCATTTTCTCCTGACTGACATTTATTTTTTTATCTTGAGAAAGGACTCACCGGAGAAATATCCGAACAATTTGCACGAATCCCAGACCTGGTCGTTGCACTAGGAGGGCCAAACGAGAGCTACCGCTTTAATTTTGAACCAAGAAAATGTTCATTGTTAAACTCTCTTTGTATCGCACATCATTGCATTTAGTCCACATACCCAATTCGTATACTATACTGGCCAACATTTTACTTAAAATTTACCCATACCATATTAAACTGAGCCCTTATGTGATACAACAGGTTTCATTTTACACCAGTACCCTATTAAACTGAGGCCTTGATGTAATACGACAGGTTTCATTTTACACCAGTTATTTGATGCAACAGGTTTCATTTTACAAGATAGATAGACCACAGTGAACTTTATTCCGATCAAAGTTCTTATAACCCGCTTACTTGAAATATAGTGTAGGAGTGTCCGCCACTTTCGAGATTGGACACCACCCTCAGCGTTATTCCAATAAAACTCAGCCCTTGATGGAACCCAACAGGTTACATATTAGGCTATAGATCTCCACTCGAAGCCATGCAGACCACCCTCAGCCTTATTCCAATAAAAGTTATTATAACCCGTTCACTTGCTCTATAGTGTGGGAGTGTCTGCCACTTTCGGGCCCAGGAGGTAAATTGTAATGGATCAAGCCGGGGACCCAAAGGGTATAAAGGCTACAAAACACAATAAAAAAAAAAACCACAAACAAGTAAAAAGACCCCAAAAATAAATCGAACTGTAACTAATGATGTACCTGAAATAAAGAAAAAAGATTCTTCACAAGCAAGCCTAATCGTATCTAGTACAAGTACCAAATACATGCTCTTCATCTTCAATAATCCATAGTCACGTAACCTACAAATATGTTCACTCCTATTAATATTAACCCAATGTCTTTACTCAATTCCAAGACTTTGAGATCCAGTTCTATACCTAGCTATAATATAACGTAAGGACATAGAGATTCCTACAAGTAAGTATTACTCTTCACAATAAACAAACAGAGGATTCACATGAAATTGATAAAATTGCATCTTGGTGACTGGCTTACTCCAAATAATGTCCTCCTGTAGACGTTAGCGGAGTGACTATTTGCATATGCATATATATATATGTATATATATATATATATATATATATATACATATACTATTTGCATTCCGCCACATTCCATCTCAAATACCAAGTCATCACATATGTTAAACATCTCTTGGAACATGTGGCGCGCAAAGCTTAAAGAGGAAGGCAAGAAGCATCAAGAAATCTCACACTTCTGATGTACGTGATGGTCAAGTATAAAGTTTCTACCTCTAGAGTTAGACAACATGTTTCTGCAAGAAGAATAGTATATGGAATTTGGTTTCTAACACCCAATTTTTCTTGTAAAAAGATCTTCTGATCTTCTGCAAGAGAGTTTGATAACAAAGTTTCCAAGTTACAAAACATGAAGCAATTCCAAAGACAAAGTTGAATCATTTTTGAATTTGTGAGAGTAGAGTACCAAATCTTGCAGGGGCCATATCTTTGAACTTGAGTGTGAACAGAATTTGAAATTCTATGGGAGCATGGAGTTTGGCAGGGCCCACTAGGTTGCAAATGGGCATGTTCAACAGAGTTTATGGATAGAGTGTACTAACTTTTTAGTTTTGAGTTTCAAGATTTTGAGTAAGGAGAGTCGAATCAATCTGTTTCTTCAAACTCAAATGTTGATTGAAGCTGAAACTCTGTAGCAACTTGGATTTAGGCAGGACTCACTTGCGTGCAAAATTTCACACAGTTGACAATTCCAAGGACAAAGTTGTGTCATTTTTTTAAGTTCTGAGTTTTAAGAAGAGAGTGTCATATCTTTGAGTGGGAGTGTTTCACATTATTTTGTCAACTTGTTTGTAGCCATGTGTGAGAAAGCGACGGACATCATGAACCTTAATTATTCTCGATGTGTTTTTGCAGAATTTCATCTTCCTACCCGACATAATTCCAGATCTAATTGGAACATCAATGACGGTGACGGTTGGCTGCAGCTACATCAATGGATCCCATCGAATAACATGAAATCTGTTGTATCCCAATAGTGTTTTGAGTTTCTCTGGATCCTATCAAGTAACATTCTCATGCTCATCCGTAGTATTACTTGTAACCACACATGCTATTTAAATTGTGGCCATGTGTTCATAAATTATGTAATGTGCATTATCTGCCTACATCCAGTCTTGATTAGGTCAAATTTACACATTCATCTCTCAAAGTTGTTCACAAGGGGAGTCGCTACCAAATTTTCTAGCATTTGTTCGGTAAAGATAGTTTTCTCCTCAATCAAGAGTAGATCTTCATGTAACTCAATTTTGACACTCGAGTCATAGTTTTATTTGTAGTATTCCAACTCTCAGGATGTCTATGATGTGGAGAGCATGGAAACAAGATGGTTGAGGTTTGAGCTATCACTCACTAAAGTGTACATTTTTCAAATGTATTCTTATCCATTTGAAAGCTATTTCCATCCAAACCCACCAGAAAATAACATATATATAAAATGAATTTAAAGATGACATTTTGTTATTCTTCTGTATAAAATTTATTGAAATATAAACAAAAGAATAAGGAAATTCTTGAAGAAATGTTGAAAGTTAATTAAACGAAGTAAGTACTTTGTACACAAGACCTTGTAAACATATTCTTTTTATTATACAAATAGTGCATATGTTACTTGATTAAACTTCCAAATTCACGATTTTTCAAGAAAAATCATCATCTATTTAAAATGATTGAAATATATTTCACATTTAAAATGTACGCACATTTTCTAAGCTAGATAGGTTATGATTTCAAAAAATATACTTCTCATAAATATGTTTGACAAAAAAAATTTAATGAAAAAAATTGTGTTCAATCTAAGGAAGTAATAAAGTAAAGATAATTGGAATTTTTAGCATTATTACTTTCTATGATCATTGAATATCAATGTTTCATTAAATTCAAATTTATATATTACTTGTTGATGTATCTACAAAAACATCAAATATCTCTTTAGAATAAGAAACTGTAGATATTCATATATAAATATAAATAAAAAATTTAATTAACCTTGTAATTCTGTACATCTTGGTATATAATTTTATTTGAGTATGAAATTTAAAAAATTACTAAATGAATTTTAGCTATATTGAACATCAATAAATTTTAATTTCATTAACTGATGCATAACAAACATTATATTTAAAATAATTTACTAATCAATTCAATACATTACAACATGTGATGAAATCTCATCATGTTTGAACAAAACTCATTTTAAAAACATTAAAAAATTATTATTATTCTTATATATTTTAGAAAAATCATGATTTAAATATTTATATCAATTACTAAAACATAATGATGAAGAAAAATTAGTAATCAAACTATAAATTCATTTTTAGATATTTTTGAATGCATATTTGCTAAGAAATCATGATGTATATATAAAAAAGACTTAAAAAAAATACATGGATTAATTTATGAGTACAAAAATATTAAAAATATTTGCTTCTTAAATCAAGTAATACTAAAAAAAAATTTACTTTTACTTTTGTTATGTTATTTCTATCATGACTTTTTCTTCAAATGTATCAATATAATTAGCTTTTTAAAAATTTAATTAATCAAAAGTTTTTGGTTTACATTAGATGTAGAAGTATGAAAGGTATTGTCAAATGAGTTTCATTCATTTATTTATAGATGATTATCATAAATAAAAGAAATTAATTTCAGGTTAATTGCATTAGATATCAATTTTTTCATAAATGATAAAAAACACTTGTAAAAATATAAGGTTAAAAAATTCACCTGAATTATCTCATCTTGCTTTCTCTCTCATAATTTCATACAATTGATTGTAATTTATTCAGTTTTACAGAAATTGATCATATGCAACAACTAAGTTATAAATTTTATGAATAATTTAATATCATTTAATTTTTTTCTAATATATGAAAAATTCGTATGCTTATCATTAATATTTGTTTGAAAAAAAATTTCCAATCATTTTTCAAATAAAAAAATATCATTTCAATCACATTTTGCACAAAAAATCATAAAAAAAAATTTAATGCAAAATCTTATGTATTACAATTATCACGCTCATCTCAACCATCAAATTGCTCTACAATTTCATACAAGAAAAATTTATTGTTCAAATCTTAAATTTGGAAAAATTTGGTAAAAGTAATTGAGAAGAGATCAAATATTCAACATTTTAGATGTAATCTTCAATTCTTCATTAGAACATTACTAGAAATTGATTGTATAAAAAAAAGTTTAAACTAATATCCTGTATTCAAGATTTATATTTTTGAGTGAAATCTTCATTTGATATAAATCTGAATAGTAAGCTATTATAACTTTCAACTTTGAAATATCACAAAAATGTCAATCTTATTAATTATTTCAAATCTGAAGTACTTTTCTTTTTGGCTTTTTCGATTTTAGAATACTCTTATTTCATATTCAAATGTTCCGCAATAAGATTTTTGAACTTCAGTCAAATCTCAACATATTAAACTATCGATCTAATTTCTGCACACTCCAAAATATGAGAGAATGAGGAGTACTATTTGACTCTAGTCAAAATTCAATCAACTCTACTTCAAGTTAAAGTTTTACATCTAATCTAAACACACTACCTAGCCATCAGAAAGATATTTTAAGATGTAAGTTTAAGACTTCAAGTTCAATTTCAGTCATCTAATTTCTAATGTACACATCAAACTCCTCCAAACGCCAAAGTTTTTAATCACCAACTTTCTATTTATTATATTCAAAAACAACAGGATGTACTTTACATCTTAGTGCGAATAGTGTCACAAGTGCCAAGTTTACATCCACAGTGATTACACATTGATGGCAATTGGAGGGCTAACGAGTATGCTCGAGGTTCATGGTTCTCGAGATGAGGATCGACGCAGGGCAGCTTCAGATATGCATTATGCTGTCGTTCCTGGTCAGTGTTGGCATCACAAATTAACACACACGGAAATCACTGTTGTGTATCTCTGTCAGAAATTCCCTGGTCACGTGAAGTACCGTCAATGGGGATGGAAGAAAGAATTGCAAAATACTTGCACTGCAAGATCACACTGAAATTCATGATTGCAGTAATTACATGGAGTTTGAGTGGCTGATGAGATCTTCGTTTGTGTTCAGGTGAAGCGTTCACCGAGGCTTACTCATTGAAGTGCGATGACCAGAAGGGCGAAGACCCACCAAATAGTGAGGAGATGGGATCCGAATTAGGACGGTTGATGAGCCAGATGCTGGGACAAGCTTACGTGAACTGTCGAGAACTCTTCGGAGATAAACTGGAGAAATACTCCATCTACAGCTTTCTTAATTAGTTCAATTGTGCAAAACCAGTCTACGCCATCAATGGCTCGATACCAGTTCGGACGAAGTGACGTCGTTCAGACGTCCACATTTTCGACGAGGTACGCTGGAGTGGTGTAGACAAGCTGACCAGTGCAAATCACATGTCCAACCAGTGCTCGGGTAGACTAAACAGTCTTCGTGGTGTCGACGGGAGATCTTTGGAGATTTCGATCACGAAGAAGTTTCAGTAGATTGAAGAGCTCAAGCAATGACAAAAATAATTACAACGGGATAACAATACAACTGCCAAGATAACAATGTTCACACAATTTCACGAATGTGGCACAAACAGACTCGACGTGCGTGCACATACAGAAGACAAGATGGAAGCTGCCTACACTTGGTCCTGGGTATTGTTGGGAGTAAATGACCGAGGTAGGAGATGATACAAGTAGGCACAGTACTCTTGGCAATGTCAGAATGTCAACTATGTTTTTTTTTTTAAAGTTCGCTCTGACTTCGTGATCTAATCGTCCACTCTAGTTCAGCATATCATCACTTGGGACAAGGGTCTCGAAATGGGCTGCTTCAAGCTTCATGATCATGATTCTGCCTTCAGCTAAAGAAGGCCAGTATGTTCACACCTTCCGTTTGGTCGAGGGAAGAAAGGCTGTCACATTCGTTGGAGAGTTTTTGGATTTGTCCTGTAAAGCAGAATTATCGTCACTGCTTCTATCAATAGGAGCATCCAATAGTAGCCCCGATGTTACCCCTGGCATTGATGTGGTCAGTTATCATTGTACTCTTTCCAAGTTTCATCTCAGTGACATGGGATGACGAATGCAAGTACTACGATGAGTACAAGAGATCAAGAGTTCGCGACTTACCTCTGTCATCTTCTCTTTTAATAGCAACAGTAAGTAACACTTGGGTCTCAATCCTGAGGGCTTCTGGGATCAATAGTAGCGCCCATCTACCCTGTATCTGCATGCATTCAAACTGCTCAAGTTTGGTGCTTTATTTCTCCGCCACTGACAGCAGCACAACACCATATCCTTATAGTGTATCTCGACAGAAACTTTAATTACACGAGTCATCTTAGTTGCAGGTAAAGTCCGATGCGGATAAGAAATGACCTCCTACGGGTGTACTGAAAGATTCAAGCCCATGTGTAGAAGCACTAACTTGATTCGTGCAGAGGGACTCAGTATTGAAGTGAATCTCTCACTCAATGTTTGAATTTAGATGTCAACAAAAACCCTTCAGGGCATGAAACAAACAATATACAACATAATATGACTTCAGCTCCAAGTATCCCCACTGTAAGGTTACAAGCTCGCATCCGTGTACTCAGCAGGCACATACTACAGTCCGGTATTACTAACTGGTTATAGATGTGAAGCTCAAGATATAAATAGGCTGAGAGAGGTAAAGAGGGAGGAGAGGAGGGAACGATACCGCACCTCGACAAAGCAATTTCCGATAAAATACAATTCCAGTTTACTACAGGACGATAAAGTCCGTTTGGCCAGTTTGCTTCACTCTCAAACACATGTACAACACTGGCCTTTATTGTGGATCTGTTTGTAGAAGGTAATTGAATCAAGGAAACTTTTTCTAAACAGAACAACCCTAAGCACTTAGGTTGACAGTCAAGGATACATAGGGATGGACTTCTGTGTCTCCACCGGTTAAACCTGCCATCCCTACGGAATCGTCGTCTGCCTTCCAAAAGGAGCTGCAATGGCAATTCACGGCCCAGTTAGAGAAAGTCTTCAGTCCATAAAACCAAAAGAGCTTCCAGCAGTGAGGACGACACCATGAGATAACGACGAGCACATCCCACTCTCAAAGCTCAATAGAAAGACACTCTTTAAGAAACGGAGCGAAACCAGAACTTGAGGCCTCAATCCTCACCTGTTGTTGCCGCCCTTGTTAGAAAGATTGTCCAGCGCTACACGAACTTTCTTCTCGTTTTTAGAACTAGGGGCCAAAACGGCTGCCTGTTTCCCACAGGAAAAAGGATATCGTCGTCAGAAACCCACATCATTATCAACCCCAACAGCCTAGATTTAATTCTTCACACGATACGCTTCCCGTGATGAGTTGTTATCTTACCAAAAAAGCAGGTGGAAGCCCGTATCTCAAAATGCTCTCGGTGAAGATCCGAACAGCACAAATATGCATCCAGGCACTAAAGACCTGCACATTACACGGCACAAAGGTGAATCACCCCCGTTCAGCTCTTCAGAGCAGACACTTTCCAGTTGGACATTGACATTTTGAACAAAAGAAGAAGACCAAACCCCGCGTTCTTGGAAAAACGATACCCCAAAGAGCAAATCTCTTTCGTACGGCGTGTTCATGACAAGTGTGTCACCTTTCGTAGACCAGCTGGACTAAAGAAGTGAAAGGTAAAGTCTGTGGCAACCCTAATATCCAAAACCTCAATTACATCTGGGACGAAGTTCAAAGCCCCCTCGCACTTCGGCTGGCACTAAATCCACAATACACTTAAATCATCATGTGTGCTCCGTTATCGAAGTAAAGCCAACAATATAAGGCAGAGTTGAATAGTGAAACTCGACTGACATCAAAATCATCTGAGATTTGCAAATAAGCGACATTACCTCTCCGTAACTGGCATAACACCATTGTTGCAATGAGCTCCGTAAGTTCTCTTGGTCCTCGCTCAGACGTTTCAGCTCCTCTTCCTTTTGTTGCTTGTTTTCTGGGTCAAACTCGTAGTCACGTACCTAGGCGTTGAGACACAACATTAAGGACCCTTGAGAACTTGTAGTCTGGTACCGTACATTCTTCCTTCCACCCAAGAGATGACACTAATCTCGAAGGCAACAACCTTCTAACCACAGACTTAAAATATGTGGACAACTCAGGAGTGCACTCTATGTTCACCTGGTATCCTTTTTCTCGGGCTGCAGTTTTGAATGTATCAGAGACTCGTCTAAACAGAACCACAGTATAAAGAGCATATTCGTTGTCCTCATGAATTTTCTTAGAAGAACGTGGTACCTGCAACAAGCAGCAGAGAGAGCATTACAAAAAATTGCTTTCATACATAGTGCGATCGTGTAGACTTCGACCCACAGAAAGCTTTAGCAATACAGTCACCACTGTTATTACATAGCCACGACACACTATAGAGGCAAGCAGGGGATCACTCCCGATACTCACCACGAAGGTTGAGATCGCTTCGTAACTTGTCAACCATTCCTTCTGTGAATACTTGCCGACAACCACAAGAAGAGTGGTCAGATGTTCGGAGGAAACGATATCTTCAGGGTGTAAGAGGTTAGAAAGGTCCCGCACGGCCATGCTGTCAATAGACAAAGATCACATTAGGATGCATTCCCACTTTTGAATTCCACGAAAACACGATCTCGTTTTTTTAACTGTGTTTACTCGCGAATCAAAATAGAAGATAATCACCGAAACATCGGCAAGAAGAGCCTCAAAACATAAATCTTCTAAACATCCATCGGACAAGAACCCACCTGCCAGTCTGCTTCCGGTTGATAGCAGTCAGCTGACTCTTGACATTGTTGTACTCTGCCACCCGGACCTGCATTGGGGGTCCCCTTCTGAAGTGTCAGGTGACCTGAAGCTCGTTATCAATTACGAAAAAAAAAATGAAAATTGTCAAGAGGTTTTAGTGTGCGAGTCCCCAGTTCTAATAACCTTGAGGTCATCCTCCAGCTTGACGACAGTTTCATGAATGGTGTCCACGGTTTCTCTGAGTGGAGACATGACTGGATATTTCGCTTCATCCCAGCTAAACCTGAAGACCAAACCCGGCAATCAGTACCCACATCAAACATCCGGAAAATTGCACCTGCACAGTATATTTGCCTGCAAGCAATTCGATGTCAAGATCTGGCTTACCTTGTGATGTACGAATCGATCGGTACTCCATCCACGGTCAATGACGTATTCTCGTGTCCTGTAGCACGCTCCAACTCCTCAATCTGTCGCCGAATTTTGTGCGTAATTGCTTCGACGACAGAGTTGGCCTACAGGGTTCGCAGATCATGTCAACAAACCATAATCCACTCATTCTCGCTAAAATGACCAGAAGAGCAACGGGGCGGGAAGAGGAGGAAACGAGAACGAGAACGATTTAGCTCACCTTTGACAAATCATCGCTAAGAGTGAGGAGTGAGTCCAAAGTTCCAACCCTCAGTTCCGGAATATGGAACTGCAAACGTGAACAAATTGTAAGAGGCAGAGCTCAGACACCACCAACCCTCACAATTTCAGGTAAGAACTGGAAATTGAAATCCAAGCCAGTGAAAAAAGTCATGCACATTGCACATGCGGCTTTCCAAAAGACGCAACAAGACGTCCAGATGGGAACTAAAAACCCCATCAAACGCCGCATCAAAGCGGCATCGCTGACAAGGGTGCCCTGACGAGATTCAGAACCAGATTGGAACCGCAGATCAGGCCACCCCCGATCGGAGATGGCGATTCCACCCGGAACCAAAAAAAGTGACAAAAACTCGATCGCAAGCTAAATCTGACCTTGTAAGTAGGAATGTCGAAGGCCACTTTATTGATACTGTTCTGCAAAAGTGACCACGTATTAGGTACGGAATCCTGCAAGGGAAGCGAAATCAGACAGTAGCGGGATGCCATGACTCCACCCCACGAGCAAGCACCCTCTCCTCCTCCTTCTCCTCCCTCTCTCTCTCTCCTCTAGTGCTCTGCTTTCCTGTCCGGCCCTGCCAGCATCGATCGTCTGCTGCGTCTTCGTCCTCTTCCAATGGCGTCCACGATCCTCCTGATTTATGCAGCGATCAGAGTCGAGGAGATCAGATCGATCCTGCAACACGGGCGAGCGAGAGAGCCAAGCGAGGGATGGGATGGGTACTTAATGATGGGGACGCATGAAGAAAGGGAGGAAGGAAGGAAGGAAAGAAGAGGGCGGAGCGAAGGGAGGAAGGATTTGGAAGCCTTCCTTCTTCTGGTGCTACTTCAAGTTTCGCTATCCTCTTCTTCTTCGTCGAGAGAAGTGAAGGAGAGGGGAAAAAAGGACAGGACAGTGAGTGTGTTCGTGTTCTCTCTTCTCGGCTTGCGCTGCCCCTTGCCTCTTCTCTCCCCCTCCCCCTGGCAAACGACTCCGAGAGGCAGATTGAGTCACTCCCCCACAGGACAGCAGTAGCCCCAGCAACAAGCCCCCAAAACACAGACAGCACACAGCACGGAAGGAGACGGAAAGGGAAAGAGCCAGAGCCAGGCAGGGCCAGGCCAGCAAGCCCAAGCCCAAGTCCAACCCAAGCCCCAAGCCCCAAGCCCAAGCCCACCCCCAAAGAAGCCCCAAGCCCAAGCCCCCAGCCCAAAAAGCCCCAGCCCCATCCCCAAGCCCAGCCCCCCCGAGCCCCAACCCCCAAAAGCCCATCCCCAAAGCCCCAAAGCCCCCCACCCCTGGAACCCCCCGTCTCCGCCCCCACCCAGCCAAGCCCGCTCGGTCCCGGCCCAGCCCCAAGCCTGCTCCTGAAACGCGGGGCTTGCTTGCTCGCGGGCGGATGAACAAGGAAGCACCAGGAGACCGGCCACGCGTCATTAGCCCTCGCTCCTGAAAGGGGCCTGTTTCCCCATTCGCTGGGCCGCGCCACTCTGCTCTTCGCACTTGGCTTTTGGCTCCCGCATTCCCTCCTTTCTCCAAGTTGACCCCGTTCCGCCATTATTGATACTTCCTCGTCCCATGACAGCCGAGCGGCTCTCCTATTCGCGTTCGCTGGCTCTAGAGGAAATTATTATAATGAATATCCTCTTGAATATCACTGTTTCTATCATGAAATGTTATTTTTATTATTTTTTAAAATTCATTTTTTATTTTTTGTGCTTTGTTTGTGGACGAGACTAGGAACTTGTAATGGAGATATTATTCATTTAAAATATTTCATGAAACATATTTGACCTAAGTGGGGTATTCTTACGGATGCCCGTATTAGTTTGATGGTATGAATTGATTACCATGAGAATTCTAAAGTCCTGTGACTGCTTGCATGATATTACTCGAATATGAAACTTTAAATCAATCAAATATGAGGGATAAGCGTGAAAGTGCTGTGACATGGTTCATGCAAATTAAATAGTCGAAAAAAACTGCGTTCGAAATTAGATTATATAAAATAGTAATGCGTACCTTGAAGTATTGAACATAACTATTGGGAGTAAAAAGTGTAATATTTGATGTAAAATGTAACACTGTGGAAATCAACATTAATGTATGTGCATTTGTTTCTGCATATATCCACGTATCTACCAATGTGTCAGAAGTTATTCAGTCCAATCGAAATGAAGCATTTTACGTGTTAGTGAGACATGGTTTTCACGGGATTTTATTTGCACTTCTATACTAGTTTTGTTTTACAAGATAAGAATAGTTCAGTGTTATCTAAATAGATATGTCGTAATACTTGATACATCAAAACTGCAAATTCAGATTCATTTGATACGCAGAATAAATTATCAATCAAGTGTAATATACTTCTTGACTTTAATCACAGTGAAATGGCGAAGCACTCCCAAGATACTGTGTGCCACATTTAAGGTTTAACACGTAACGTATCTCATTCACAATTCGTCGACAATATCCACTAATATCCACTCATTCGAAGGTATGATGCACATGCTCGATGACTCTACCCTGTGAAAAGCCCAGCGGCTGCAGTTTCGCACTGGAATATCGAGGACTTTGTCCTTTAAATGTATATGCAGAGCATCCAAATAGAGATGCACAAGTTTTCCTCGAAGTTCTATCTGGTGAAATGTGGCTTCACCTGTCTACACGGACGTTTAATGTACACTGAGAGTACCGAATTACATGCAGTCAATAAGAACGGCATTGACAGGTGAATCGATAAAGTGTCAAGGACACTTGATCGATCAATGCCCTGCATCCTGAGGTCTGTCTGATCTAAATTAGTTTCCATACTTCTAAATAGGAGACTTCATGACGGTGTATTCTCGACGTCAGTCATTTCACAAGTGCTCTGCATACTTTTATGGACATACCAAGGGGGAAGGTGGCTACTTTTGTACAACATCATCGGTGACGAGACTCAATGCACAATGCCAAAAGCGAACTCCCGAGAAAAAATCGGGATGAGATGTCCCTACTCTGAAGAGCATGGACAACTGGCCATGTGATGACCTTCGCTGAACTTGACAAGCTTCCAGTCCAGTAAATGGGACAGATGCTCATACCATTCTAGGTGGAAACCCCAATCCGAAAAGGAAATGATACTAGCTGCATTCGATGTACTTATTCACGGAGTGACATCCACACACAGTGATCATAAATTCATTTCCACATTACAGGAAGGCCTTAGACTGTATGAAAAACCTCTTGAAAGTATCAATACTCTGTGCACTCTATGTTATATACAGCCCGATGTGAAATATTAAATGACACAATCTTGTGCTTCTTCCTGGGCTTTCGTCCCATGGATATAACCACAGCTAGTCTTGAACTCGAACTTCGCTTTGCTCCGAGAGCCACATTTTTTACCACCACACCGTCAAGTAATATATCTACCTTGTCTCACGCAAGGACCGATGACAGTGGATGTACCATCTGAGCTATGGGCAAATGCATATGATGAATACAATAGGCCCGAAGAGTAACTATACATGTCACAAGCTGGTAAATGTGACAACCACAAGGGCTACCATCGATAACACATGGGCAAAGAAAGAGCTGATGTTTGACCCTAAAGTAAATCTTGACGCACAAACTGGTACCGACAACAAAGATATGATTGACAGAAAATCCGACCTCCAAGGGTCAATCCTCTAGAGAAGCACCGTGAAGAAGACACTTCAACACTAAAATACAAATATACTTCAGCTGCCACAGACTGCATGAAGGGCGGCAGGTTTCCTCGACTAGCAGCTGAGTTTAATAATTCTAGCTTGTCTCCTAACTAAGTGACCGTATATGTCCCAAGAAGGATAAATACAATTGGTCTGGAACACTCCGCTGATGGCCAATTTAGTAAACTGGGATCATTACTACTCTTACCGTTAAAAATTTTAAATGAGAAGGCAGCAGCGTGTCCTCCTTGAAAGATCAGTGATTCCATGATTTGGTCACTGGAATGTTGTAAGTATGACCCTCGAGGAGGGACATGTAGTATTTGCAAATGATTTATTGATCACTGAAGTTCCTGAAGTCAAACAGGAACCACAACAGCACCGTCAGGTGTCATGAACAAAGGAGAACTATAAAGGCTATGGTCCAAGTGGAAATGAGAGTGGATTGAACAGATCAGACTTAGCAGATATAAAAGATCAATAGCAAAATTTGAATTCAGAGGCGTGAAGACTAGGGCACTGAGGCTGAAACAATTACCTGTTTGTCACTAAAATAAGGCGAAGTAATGTACCCCGCATGACTTGCTGTCACCCGCAATATCTCATGGATTCGACAGCTCAAGAGCAAACACTTGAGCGAACAAACAGCAGAGAGAACTCATTCAACTGAAACGTTTTTACCAATCCTCCATGAGTGATAAGACCAGCTGGGCTGGGTGCTAACTGAAAATGACCGTAAATCCGAGCCAGTATCACCAGCAAAGAATTCAGCTGTCAAGTTGAAACGATGGACTGTCACACTCGCTGGATAATTGGAGGATGCCTCGCATTTGCAGGTAAGGATTCTCCAAAATCTTTTCGTTGTTACTCTGATGATCCATCAGAAAACTTTCTGTTAGTACTAAGCTCACTACCTCCTGAGCATTGCACTATTCTCTCGTGAGCTGACCCGAATAAATGAGAGGGTACAGCTATAAAAGGACAATCTTTAAAATTTGCCAAATAAAAGGAGAGGTTTAAAATTGAGAAGTCACTACAGCCTAAAACTCGTCAACCGAAAAGACCAACAACGCAAGTAGCAGATAAATTTCACCTGCTGAGCCTTGAACACGAGGTTGTGAAGCATGCGCTGATACTTCTCTGGTTCCTCTGTCATCATCCTCTTCAGAAGAAAGGCTGACGTGTAGTATGCAACCCGTGCATCAATATCATCCAAAAGTGATCTGCAACGATTCAAGCGTTTTGTCAGATTTTAAAAGAAAATCCTTGATTTGCGAATATACGAGGTACTTCTATCAGTGAAACCAGCAACTTTGCTTACTTTGCATCGCATTTCAGATGATCCTCATGATGACCATATCAATCACAAAGCATCTTCATATCTTCAGCTACTTAAACCAACCATGAGGAGACGGGAGAGAAACGCAGATTGCCAACATCTTTTGTGCACATAAAATTTCAAGGAACCCCCAGATATTGAGTTCAGCGCAATCTTTACCTAAAAAACTCCTCACCGCCTACTTCTTCCAAAGCAACTTGATAAGCTGTACATTTCCCAATAAGAATTAACAACAGTGCAGCCCGGACATCGCAAGCTCCACCCGGGACATTTCCTCCACCCCGGCTACCAACAGCCACACCTAAAGTTACATCCTCAGTGGCAGCGCCGGCCAGCTGCATCAGTGGCCAGTACAGCAGGGCGGTAGGCATATTGGCCACCAAAAGTTTTGGAGCAGCAGCTTGTCCGTTCAGTAACATAGAGGCGACGGAACAAGATCTACTTCCAACACTGCACGGACTGTTCGTACTTCTAATTCCAGGCATTCCATCCGCACCACCCTGTCTTTGAGAACCGTAGTTATCGAGCAACGAAGAGTCAACTCTTCCACTGGTTGAAAGACTTCGGTTAGAGGCATTCGAAGCCAAAGGCCAAGAAACACATAGCTGGGAAAACATCATGTTGCACATCTGACCAGAACGGAATAACACAAAGTTAGATTTCTCCACAACAACGAGAAATTCGAATGTTAAGGGATAAAAAAAGGATAAAAACCGCACGGTCCAAACTGATGTGCCTTAGGGGCTACTTCGATACTACATACTCCCTTCCAATCCCGTACAGAATAACTGTGAGCCTTGAAGAAGGCGGACTCCAACCAAGCCCGCGTGGTGTACACATCAAACAGCCTTGAAATCGCATGAACTCATCCGCTAATCAATAAAGAAGTTCCTAAACATGCGATACATACATCGAATAAATCCACCAGATAACGCACCTGCAAGATATTTACACGGTCTGTGTCATTTGCAGATATAGCTTGCCAGAGGGCACCATTCATCAGGCCCAGCATAGCTAAAGCACGGTCTTGAGGGCCCATGCTTTTCACACCCTCCGGCTTCGGTACCTCCCCATCAGCAACTGTTGAAAGATTCAGTTCTAAATCACAGCCATATCTCTGACACTGAAGTAGTACTCTCTCCAGAATGACAACAAAACCACGACGTATAGACGGCCTTTTTGACTTCAGTAAACCGCACATCAGCCGGACTGCTGATGATATGGTTGGAGTCTGTTTCTGCTTCTCTGTATTTTCACTTTCAGGAGTCTCATCATCTGCAGCGGGTTTCTCGAGATTTCCCAAAAGCCCAAGTTGCCGTTGCAACGCGTTGGTATTCAATTTACTGCTTTTCGAGCTCCCCCGAGCCATTTCTGCTGACAGAAGCTCTAATAACCAAACATATCCGTTACATCGGTAACATGGTCGAGAAGAATGAAGAAGGGACTCGAGTGTTGACCATGCCTTCGCAACTAGGGTTGAATCAAGCGTATTCTCAGCAGGACCTGTCCTGCTTGAATCATTGTTTAAGCCCTCACTGGTCATAGTGACAGGAAGCAACTCCATGAACTCGTCCTCTGGGTGTGCATAGGCAGCAGCTAACTTGTCTAGAGCTCCAACCACATTCTCCAGAAGCTGCATTGGAAGTAAGCTTTCATCAATTGGTGAGTTTCCAACAAGGTCCCATAATCAACAGAAACAAGCGTCATAAAACTTGATCGACGTAATTTTCAGCTGATTACGAGAGGGCTATGCAAAACATGTGGCTCTGACTGTGTGCAGCAGCTCAATCATTCAATAGACAACTTCTAGACTACAGGTGAGGCACGTATATGTGAGAGATACCCTTCTATCTACAGTGCTGTTTGAGTGCCGTGTACAAGAAAGATTCAAACTAAGAATCGGTTTAAAAAAGCAAGAAGCAGCTCCCCGAAGTATATTACCTGGGCATTCAGGCGGCCACTCGTGACATCACGAGCCATAGCTGTGGTAATTGATTTCGATAAAGCCTCACCTACTCCAGGAAGGCCTTGCTTAAATGCAAGAGCGTAACATTCTGGAGCTTCTGCCAGACAAAGTGCTGTGGCAACCGCCTGGATCTCCTCAGTACCAGGAAAAAGCATCTGATTGCTGGTGGATTCGTCCTCCAAATCATACAGGACGAAGTCGAAGAGGACTGCAAATAAGTTCCGCTTCGCCTCCAGGGTTTTGGCCCTTGCGAACTGCAGTAGATTGAATTGCACGAAACCCATAAGATCAGTAAAGAATGCAAGGTATCCAGATTTTGCTCCAGCGCAACTTGAGAAGCAGACGTTTTTTACTGACCTCAGCACATATTGTTTCAATGCCGCCCAGGATTTCAATCTGGTCCAGATCCAGAGAAGGTTTACTCGTTAGAGTTTCATCAGCAGGAAGTCTATAAAGCAGATTGCAAGCAATGCGAATAAGACGGCAGTGAACTTCGTCTGCCCATCCATACTCCCAGCTTATCTCCAAAAGCGCTTTCAGGGCCTGCCACAGCACAAACAGAAATAACAAGCCACTGAATGAACTCACTAAAACTTACTGTCCTAAACTAAGATAACATTTTCACTTTCCATTCCTTGGCAACTGGAGTTTCCCGTGTACGTACTTGGATATATTTTTACTTATTGGAGTGTATCTACAAAAAGGGAGACCCTCTTTATACCACTAACTTCTTCAGTCTCACATACCCTCCTTCTATATTACTTCCCATATTACTTCTTCCAGTCTGTTACGTCTAAAACCTCTCACCCAGAGCGTGGGTTTTTCAGGCCATCGGAGGCAAATACTAACGAGTAACCTTTGGCAACTGAAGAGTTCGTAAATAAGGCTGAATTTCCACCCAAGCAGAGAATAATAAACTTGAGACACAATCAAAGCCACATTGGAACGTTACCCTGATATCAACTCCATCAAGTCGACGTCTTTGTATTCTTCCCCGGTCACATACCAAGTACAATAGACAGCTCAGTGCAGCAGCCCACACGCCCTCATCGGCCTCCTCAGTCTGAGGAAGTGACAATATCTTAAGAACAGGATTGCGGCACAGAGAATATACTTCATCTATTTCAAATAATGGCAGAGCATTTAGGATACCATCGGCCAACTTGCAACTCACACTGAATAGACAGCCACAGTACCTGAACCAGAAGAAGAAGCATCTCACACAGGAGATCCAGCAGCCACGCCTCAAATCTGCCTACTGCGGGAGGCGTACCACGCTCGGGTTTTTCCAAAAACCTTTCTGAGGAGGTATCACGATTAATCTTGTTCATTCTGTGCCGATCACCGGTTCTGTTCCCTCCTGGGAGAGAGCCAAAAGAAGAAAAAGATCCATTCTCCATTGATGGGGCATCTGAAGAAGGCACTTCATCTGGTGTGGATTGATCCTCGCTTTGCATAGGCTCAAGAAGATGCGCGTGAACCCCAAGATTGAGTGTCAAATCAAACGCACGTATACGAACGCTTGCTGATTGTGATGTCAACATCCCCTGAACATTCCCAATCCAACTTTCAACCCAAGAAATCCAGAGACATTCTTGACACCACCTAACTCCACTTCAGTAGGCGGCAAAGACCATGTGATGATCAAGAAATTGCTCAACTGACAAGCTGATTCACTAATATTCCCTTAAAACTCGACACGACTTAAACTGCTGTACTCAAATTGCCGAAAAACTATGCTTCACGTACACTACTCAAACGGTACTAGATAATTCAGCATAAACAAACTCTTCATAGACATAGGTCTGTAATGAAATCACCTGTAACATGGAAAGTGTGAGGGGAGCAGCGGTCTGAGGGTCTGATATGTACCTGCACAAGTTCCCATTCACCAAACAGGGATTCCAGTAAATGAGAACCCACCAATGAGACCAACTACATGCCTGAAAAGATTTGGAAATTTAGACAAGACTATCAGACTTACATGTCGATAAGAAGCTTGATAAGTACACTTGCAGCGACGTCTGCGGCTTCCGGGGCGAGTTTTCCACCCTGGTTGTTGGGAAGAGGTACCAGCGCTAATGTATTTCCACTTGACCCGGACGTCTCCGAACAGACTGCCGAAATAACTTCTTCCATTTCAGCATCACTTAACCGGAGAGGCTGTTGCTCACTGTCATTACAATATCACACGAACTGTTCAAATGAGTATTTGCCTGTGAATAACACAGATAAAAATTATTTGACACCAAAGTAGAGATATCCAAAGACATTTTCTGCATGGAATATTGAAAAGCGAACAAGCATTTTCATACGAAGTTCGCAAAACATACGACAGAAATTCAAAACTGATTACCTGTAATGTCTATACTGAAACAGAGGACGTGCTCTCCGACGAAGTGTGCTCGGCGGAACATCCCCCTCCCTTTAAAAACCAGAAAGCTTGAATCCGTTAATAGCGTAGAACAAGAACATCATCAGCAATCTAAGAAGATGTGTACAAATTGACGAAAGTAATTGACAATCAAAGTTGTAGCAGAGTTCAGAGCAAAACCAGCGCTGGGAGATATGCGGTTTGTAACGCTTTGCAGCTGCCACAGCTCGCAAGTGAGACCTCACAGCTAGCCTATCAGTGACGGCTGTCACTGTCGAGGGCAAAAGAATTTGTTCAGCAATGCCTTCCAAGCTATTCAGCGGTCTACCCCCAGGCCTTGCTTTAGCATCAGTTTCTTTCTGTTGAATCGATTTCAGCATAAGTGCTGAAGCTCCTTGTTCCGCTAAGTTTTGCATCCTCTCTACATGTGGCCGTGCAATGCCGCCACTGCGAACAATGGGTGACATGATTTGTTTAGTACCTTAGGCAGAGGTGCTGACACGAAAAGGCCATATAATCCAGGTCCCATTCAAACTTTCACGTATCAACGACCATGTCTCTCATAAATACCACCCATGATCGGGCAAACAAGATTGACAAATTAAAGAAGACAAACTCTGAACAAAGTCCAGTAACACAACAATGAAGCAATGCTTATCATGCTCTGAATGTTCTGTGTAAGTCTTATACACCTGTCCATCATGACCGGTGAAGGAGCCCAAGACGGCTGGCCTTTGCCACCAAGCCATCGCCACTTCATTACGTCCACAGCGATGTAGTCTACGTCTTCTTCGTCGATCTCCTCCAAGCCCGATATGCACATAGCTGCCGACTTCACAGCTTCCCTGTCGTCTGGTACAGCTCTCTTCAGCCCTCTGTCATATGGGCTTGTAAAAGGTCTCGTACGTGGGGATGGTAAAGCTGGTTTCAAAGGTTTAGCTAAGGAAGGCATGTTATTGGAAGAATGGAAAGATAACCGAGGAAGATTACGAGCCACTAGAGCTCTAACGTATACCAGGGATTTTACAAGAGCATCTGACGCAAATGGTAATGATGTTGCACTTGGTGACGGTGGTGTTCCTTGGCTGCTGGAAGGGCCGTGTTCATTCACTGGTGGCACCCAGGGGGTAGTCCTCTTCCCAGCAATATTTCCTGCAGCCTGGCATTCTGCTATGAGACCTCCACAGAAAGCATCGATTTGTTGAAGAGTAGCTGGTCTAGGAACATATCTGCATCCCCAAAAGCCCAACAACGCAAGTTGGAATACAAAAATATCACTGCGCACATGTATGGATATGTATAAAAAATAAAGCGTAGGTGTATACCCTAGAATCCTTACTTTCTGTACATATCCAAGCTTATTAAGAACCTATCATGCACCTCAAATAGGGCGTCTCCTTACTTTATGGGGTTACATCTAACTCCCACTCGTCTTCACTTTCCACCATTTACAATTACGAATCCAAGAGAAGATTCATAAATAATGAGTGTTTTTTTTAACAAAACGAGCTTTCGCATTCAGCTCATTGATAATCGCTGGAGAAACGGACTTAGGGTGACACAAAAATTGTCAAATATTGATTGTATGAAACCGCAACAAAGTTCAATGACTCAGAGATTCTTCGACCCAAGCTTTCCGTGAGAGCTTGGGTTTAAGGAACGCCTGACAGTTCTCCATGGGTGTTGATATGACGCTAAGCAGCGCCATAGGTTAACGCACCTATCACTACCAGTGACTAACAAGACACCAGATTGTTGGGTTTATGCACATTGACAACTCGAATATCTTGCTTGCGTGCAGTGTATTCTGAAAGATGAAGTTCCCCAACATTCCTTTCTTCGAGTTGTTCTAAAGCTACTAGCACACCTCAGCTTCGGTGTTCGGACAATGACAGGCTAAAAATACAAGTGAATGTCTTTTTTGCGTTAAGAGCTTATCATAGAAGGACAAGAATCTTGAGACCAAGTACGTCAAATAACCCCTTACCTGAATAGGTATCTCTTGAGCAATGAAACGCACTTGGTAATAACAGGGGGGCTGCAAACATAATAAAAACGTCAGCACCGTGCTCCTCTGCTCTTTAGAAAATTTGAAGCAGCATATCCATCAGGGTTTTACTTTCTAGACAAAGAGCTCTCTTGTAGAGACAATTGTTCACTTTTTCATGTCCCACTATACCCTTGCCTGCAAGCTGTTATATGTCAACGCGATCATCCTGAACATGCGAGTGAAAATTCCCGCTCATTTCCAGCAAAAAACGTGTACTTCGCATAAATTCACAAGTACTGGAATGCTCGGAGGATACTGTGCGCTGGAGTCCACTCTGACTATAGTTCATCTCTAAGTATTTGCGATAGGGCTGCCCAGTGATTTAAACACGAAAGACCAAAGAGAACTGAGATTTGCAAAAGCTAACCTCCGATCCCTTTCCGCAAGGGCGTGATCCAGTAGGACAATATATGCAGAATCCATAGTAGAAGAGTTCGCAAGGTAATCCTGATCACGAGATAACAATTTGATTATTAATTGAGGCATACAGTTGTAAGACTGACAAGCTGGTGACGAGAAAGACAGAGTTGGTTAAAGAGCAATAATCTGATGAACTGAATTTGAATGGCAATCGTCAGAACTTGAAACCCAACAAATCCGAGTTAACCATTTTTTCTTTCATTGATTAGTAGGAAATTATTACTCTGAGCTAATCGAGGTGCCTATCAACGTAAATACTTGCTCTGTAAAAAAATCAGAAAAAGAGCTCCGTACCAATGCAGGTAATAAAGCAACTAAAGACATCTTTCTTACAGAGCACTAGTACAGGGCCACATCGGCCCGGCAGAATAAGTTGTTCCGAACATATTCCTACTAGTCGCCCAGGTCACCTACAAAAATTTTCATGCCGTGCTCCATACGCCGATGAATTTACCGCATCCCACATCGTCAAAATCCATGCTATATCCAGATTCAACTCTATTCGCCTAATGCTTTGAATGTTTTGAGCGCTATGAAGTGAGCAAAATCGTTCATTGTGATTCATCACCAAATTCGGAGTTTTTTAAATCTCGTGCAGGTCACAAGCGAGTGACCATCTCCAAATTTCGCGTTGTTTACTAATGTGACCTAAGGGCAAGAACACATCGTTCTGAAAAAAAGTGGTAACCTGTAAAGTGCGAACGGCTTCAGATGTGAAAGCTGAGGCAGTGGCATTGTAAGAGGCGGACAAGCAATTGGCAACAGCTCGACGCAAGGGCTCCGGATGCTTCCTCTGCTGCGGCCGCTGCCTCGTATGACCTCCGAGCTGCGAAATCCGCGAAATCCCTGCTGCTCCTCCTCGCTCCTGACCACCACCATTCCCGAGTCCTCCTCCGCCTAAAGCACCACCGAAGCCAACACCTAAAGCACCACCGAAACTCACACCCCCAGCTCCTGAGACTCCACCACCTCCTACTCCTCCGTCCCCCATCCGGCCTACCCCCGGCGCGTCCCCCCTCATCATCCCCGCTGCTGCTGCTGCTGCTGCACCACCTCCTCCTCCTCCTGCTGAAACTGTCGATCCCTCCCCTGCCCCTCCACTGCCTCCTCGCCCCCCTTCCTGCACCATCGCTCGCTGCTGGCCGAGGGAGCAGCGAGCGAGCGTCCCCTGCCCCTCCCCCCTCTAGTGCTTCTCTTCACTCTCGCCTGTCTTCCCTTCCTTGCCCCTCCCCCTCCCCCTTCCCTTGCCCCTTTCCCCTTGCCCCCTGCTCCCCAGCTCCTTCTTCTGCTGGTGCTTCTCCTTCCCCTCCCCCTCCCCCTTCTCCTTCTCGCCCCTCGACATCATGCCATTGCCGCCCCCAGCATGATACGTCCGTCTCCGAAGCCGAGCGAGCGAAGCTCTGCGCCGGCGAACAGAAACGCAAACTCGTCGTTCGAATCCACGGCACCGGGCTCAGAAGCGACCGCATTCCGCCGACGAACCGGCGAAACCGACGGCCGAGTTCAGAGAGCTTTCGACGACCGCGGGAGCCAGGTCAGCTTTGCGGCATGGATCTGGACCCCGAGTTGCGGAGTCACGCGAGTCCCTTTCGCGACACGTGGAGAGGGGGATCGGGATCCTCGTTGACCTCTGGCTGTCTCGCAATGTTGCCCGAAAAGGAAACACGCCGTCAATCCACATCTGTTGGTCCGACGTACTGTCTTTCAGCTTTTCGGGCCCTCTTCCCTTCCTTCCTTCCACGTCCTCTCGTGACGCGTGTCCCGAACGGACCGTCGGACTGAAAAGCTCCGAAAAGCCCGTCGTCCAGCCTCCGGTCCTATTCCGTCTCGTTGTTCCCGATTCGGCGCGCGGTCTGGACGAAAGCGGGCTGCGGGTGGCGCTGATGTCAAACCCGCGCCGCCACCCGGACGCCGGCGCCTTTCCTTACACGGGGTAGAAGAAGTGGACGGCAAGTTTCATCGCTCAACTGATTCGAACCCGTGATTGGCCTCATGCCAATCCCGTCCGAAGGTAGGACCGCGCCAGGGAACGGATTTCGAGGTACGTGGTTCCTGCCACTTCTTCGACTCGCTCCCTAACTGAACTAACTACCGGGAGCGGACCGCGGTTGCGATCGACGCGGTTCCCTTGCATGGAACAACCTCTCCGAACGACTATGCCATCGTGCGCAGAAATGGACGTCGGACGCAGTCACAGTGGGGACCGAGGAGTAGAGCAAAAGTACGCATTGTGGATGTGGTCGGACCTGGTAAAACCCTCTGTGACGTCAGCGGACTGCGGCCAGGAATTGCATGAGAACGTTCTTCCGCGACCGGACTCACCGGTCGCTGCGGATGCCTGATGGACGAGATACTCTTAGTTTCAGACATAGAGTAGAGTGAGTGCTGGTCTTTTTCAGAGTTCAGAAACGTAGATTGGAAGACTCGTAGTTGCTGTATTTGGATTCTATGAAGAGCCACGATATCTCTATGTTGTAGACTCTGGCTATAAACCGAATAGATTTGTTTCAATCATAGTGATCAAGGCAATTTGTCCAGCGACATTGCGCATAAAGTGACTCTAGATTTTCAAACTCCTTCATGGTTCAAGCAAGTAAACCTGACTTCGGATTACATTAGCTTGTTTAATTTTCATGTGTGCCTTTATTCTTTTTCATAAAATTTTTAGGATATGTACCAATGACGCTCAATCTGCATAGCATGCTTATGTCAGGGATCCTGCAGCTTGCACAGGGCTCAACCAAATGCTGCAACCAATAGCTGCAAAGTAAATTCCTTCGCTCCTAGAGCTTGCTCATCTCCTTCTTGATCAGAGAACACTTCTTCATCGTTGAGACCATCACCGGTAACCGGATTAACCGGTCAATGTCGCTAAGGGCAGCCCTCCGCAATCGGACGATGACCGTGCGGACGCAAGAGCTAGAGTCCCTTTTGTGGGCATCTGCTGCGTCAATGGGGGCCTCCAATTCCCTCTTGACGGGGTTGCGAGCGATATTGATCGATGATGTCGACAAGGCACAGCTCAGCTTTTTGAAGTTGACTGAGTCTGCACAACAGTTGGGGAGTCAAACAGAGCTCGGATCATTTTTTTAAAGAATTTTAAAAGTTTTTTTGGAACTTTGTTATCCATTGGTAAGTAACTTAGATGCACCGTGTGTTCCTTGTTGGTATATCTCCGCCAAAGTGACACATACTTCTCTCATCTACTTTGTCATCTTTATTTCTCATTTTTTTTTGTTACAGTGATGTATCAGTCTATGTAGTTATTACTCTCTATTGCAGCAAACTTCATATTATGCTGACTACAGTAGATGATGCGTCTATATTTGAAATGTACCATCTCTTTAAATGACATAGCATTTCACTTTGTGAATTTTTTTCTTGTGAACAAACATATTTCTAGATGATCTAGTATTACATTCACTGAATCTCATTTTTTCACAATTTTCTCATTTAGTTGCTTTCTTTCTCTTAACCAAAGTTGGACGCTAAAACAAAAAATTAAGGGAGATAATATTATCATTCCATTATAGGTGAATAAACGAATGAAACAACATATCTAAAAAAAACTCCATCTATTGGGTACTAAGTCCAATGAAGCAAGATCGAATATAAAATTTTGTGTTTTTGGAGTGCATATAGCAGCTTTCCGTGATGTACTCTGCAATATGATGTTTTGCTATTGCAAGGGAGGGTAGATTTTTGCACGTGACTTGCAACTGATTTGAGTTATAGTCAAAAATTGTAATTTTCAAAACGTTGTGCTTATGTTACACATGGAACTGTATCTGATGACATCTTAATGAATGGCTAGTTATGAAGCAACATCTGACACAAACATAGGGTAAATTTCTTCTTCTCCTATAGCTGATTACTCTGGTACTTTAACTTTCAACTTGTATGGTGTTTTAGGCCAGAATGGTGATTTTTTGCCAAAAAGTAAACAAAACTCCAACTATACTAACCAAAATGAAATATCTCTTCTTTTGGTGTGTAGCAAATTTAGTCAAATTTCATTATTATGTGACTGTATACACTAGTTTATAAATATTTTTAAGATATATGTATTTATACTTCTATAGTTGAAATATATAGATAATTTGACCTAGATATCTTATCTAAACAAAGATGTATTTTCCAGAATTTATTTTATTGTGATGCAATTAAAAAAATATTCAATTTTATCTTTTTCATGTCATCAATGTATCATTAAATATGATATTTTCATATCGTTTTATCATTTTACATAATTTCAATAGAATTCATCTTGAATCAAATTATCTTATTATCTACTCGCAATTTTAACTTCACTCTAGAATCAATATACATGGTTTTCAATATTCTTTATAAAAACAATAACGTCAATTTAATAATATAAATGCTAGTCTAGATCTGTAAACATGTTTGAATTAAAACTTATACAAAGGTTTCTTAGATTGCAACTCAACGAGCATTAATCTGTAAGGAAAGCTCATAAATAAATTTTAACTGGTGTAGAGAATAAATATCTTAGATATTAAGATGATGAAAAGAAGAAATAAATGGTTCTAGAGAATAATAAAAACATCAAATATTTTCATTTATTATAATCAAACTATGTATTTTAAATTCTATACAAACTACAAAGTATTTGAAGAAATCTCTAATTAATGATCCATTTTTTTCCATTGTTTCATCCAATGTTTTTTAATCTATGTATGGATACATATTGCAACAGAAATAATATTCCAATAAGACAAATTGAATATAACATACTCTCTTGCACTCTCAAAAAAATGGTAGAATTCATTTTTAAAAAATAAAAGAAAGAACTAAACTTTTTGCATACACATACAACTAGAAACTTTGATGTTTATCAATTCACCCACAATCTATACATAAAAGTATCTCATCATACATCATTATGAGATACACCATTTATGGATGAAACATTAAAAAATATTTCATTGTGATGTAACAAGGCTATTTGTAAACGATGATGACACTATCCATATTGAGGTCCAGTTACACGACACCAGCATGATAAAAAAACAAATTACGTGTACAATTCATATTTTGCACATCACATTTATGTGTCCAGGTGATTCCAAACCGTATCAAGGATTAACAAAAATTGTTAAGCATATAGCAAACATTATATTTGACATGTATAGTGCAACATCACATGTCCATGTCCTCGTTAATTTAAGTATTCGATAAGTCTTCTGAACCGTTTGCTAAATTCTCGGAACCCATTTTTGGCCATGGAAGTGTCACAACGAGTTTGGTTACTGTCGCAGAGGAGCCACCCGGTCACGCACCCGGTCAGCGTCCAAAAAATAAATCGTATCGTTCTTGAGTGGCGAGAAATGTGAGTTACAGAGGAGGTGTGTCGAAGAGAGGGTTCATAGAGACAGAAGGAAAGTATCGAGCAAAGGGATAATTGATCGAAGGAATGTGAAGATGGTGATGAATTCGGAAGAACGATCAAATACTCGAGCGAACATTCAGGACATTGGAATAACGATCAAGACGATCGGGATTTTAAAATAACAGTCAAGAAATCGGAAGAGGGTATGAGATTCGGAGAAACGATCACGGAAAGAGGAGAAAGATCGAGAATTCAAAAGAATGATTTGGGAGGAAGGATTGCAGAGAACACAATCAGGAAGAAACTTATAAGGGAAAGCCAAGAGGATAGTGGAGGGTTTTCGGTTTGAGGTGGTAAGGAGTCCTCACATGGTCGTGAGAGGTGATTACCGCATGAGATGGGTGTTTTTGAAGACTGTAATTTGGTTTGCTCTCGGACTAGAAGAAGCGAACGAAATCCAAGAGTGTCATAATCGTGAGAGTTGGCTGCACGAGCTCGTAGTCTTTGTGCTCGGGAAGGAGAGTTCAGAGAAGATAAGTTCGTCGAAGGTGAAGAATCAAATCTAAGAGAGAGCTCACATGTAGGACTAGAGTGCCTATGACGAAACTTACAAATGACAGACAGTAAAATTGTGAAGTAATCATGTAAAAAACTCCATGATGGTAGAGGAGACAAGATTTTCAATCTTAAAAACGTTGTACCTAACAAAATTTCGTGATACGAGACAACATTAAAAGATTTTATTAGCCCCATCAGCGAGAAAACCTAATCTGGATCGATATCTAGGAGTGCTCTAATGACAACGCATCTCTACGTCAAAATCCTTGCAATATAATGTAGACAAAGATGACGGGAATAACCTTGAAGGAGCCGATAGTACCAACAAGTGTACACAGAGAATGGGAGAAATCAAGAACACTCTGAGAACTTGCTCATTGATACATACACCATAAGGTAAACTCATTTTGCATGGATGGCGACTTGTCTACTATATTGAATCAGTTTTATATTACAGTAATTATTTCCATTTTTCCTCTTCAAATCGAAGGCACAGTTGCAGCGAACCGCACCCAATTTCGTAGTTACAATGGCTTTCTCCCTGTTTAGCCTCATCCGAGTTTTTTTCTGGAACGAGGACTCTAAATTCCAAGGGGCCTTTTGCCACAAACAAAATGCCAATCTTTGATTGTCTTTCACGCACAATCCATCCATAATTAAGATGAATCGCATGGGGATTTTGGGAAGACAAAGTAATCTGCGAGTCATGCATGTCAGCTTGCCTTGTCTCCGTGAAGAACACGACACTAACTGAAGTAGACAGAATCTGAAGACTACTTGAAAGCTGTCCTAAGTCAGCCGGCAAATAGACTTCACAGACAGGGAGCCCGAAATTGGACTGACAGCATTGGTCCCGAACAATCCTTCGAAAGTAGACCCGGGACTTGCTTGACAGCGGTTGTCGTCAGGAACATTCAGGCTTCACAGCCTTGAAAAAAATTAGGTAGTAAAATACATTGTTTCTGGTCGGTAGGAGTGAAGTAATTCTATACTTCAAAATGAATTCATGAAGATAATATGCTTCCCGGACGAAAGTTACTTTCGTGTAAGTTTGTCACGAATTGGGAATTCATCATGGACAAGGGGACACACATTTTCTAATCGGAAAACCTTCCCAGGCCGTGGCCACAGCTCCAGAAAGGAACCACTTTGTAATATTTGAATCTTATTTACACAGATTGAAAGCTGCCAATCCAATTCTCGAGAATTTCTACACAAGCTACGTTTAAAGAAATGCTCCCTACACCTCACCTCCACTAGGCCTGAAGGGATTTTCCACTGTCGGGTAATTTTTCTATGCAAGCAGTGCAGATGTTGCACCAGCTGAACCTCGATACCAAAAGTGTTTTCTAGATTCATACATAAATTGCGTCTGGTCTCAAGTTGGTGATACAACTGGCCGGCTCATGGACAACCTCCTGATCAAGTGCCTCTTGGTGTTAGGGTTGAGCTCCGACTGTGGTTTCTGAGCCTCGTGTTCCTGCACAGCACGAGTGCAGTAATCTATGTCAAGCCTGCTGAAAGTCCGCATGGCCGGTCCGAACAGTTTGTGCTTATTGTGAACGAAAGGAGGTCGAGGGGAGGGGCTGTCGGGAGCTGCTCTGTCACACACAGCTTCGATTGCCTTCTCAACTGCTTTCTCGTCCTGCTCCGACTGGAGCTGGCTGGATGCTCGTGCTGGCTGCATGATCTCTAGTCTGAAACCCTTCAGGCTTTCGATCTCCTTCGGGGTCATCTTGCTGAGGCTTCTGTCGAGCTTGTTGGGCTTCCCAGACCCCACAAATGTTGTCTTACTATCGACTGCATCCGTGGCTTCGATCGGTTCCACCTCACCAGCGTTGGAAGCGTTCTGATTATCGGCCAGTATCATGCTCTGCAGTTCATCATCTAGAACATCTTCCTCGATGGTTTCTTGGTGAGAGATACCGCCCGTGCCCGACCTCGAGTTCGCACTGCCCGACGAAGGCAACAAGTCCTCTGTAGTGTATTGTACCTGCAGAGAAAACGAGGAAAACTGTCAAATTGGGGGACCTATCTTCAATATGAGAAGGAACCTGGAGCTGAGTCCCAAAAAAGGTCTCGCAAGCGGATCTCCGACTGGACGACGAGAGAATAGATCAGTACTACTTCAGCGATATCTTCATTTGATATGTGTTGGAAACACATCTCAGGACTACCTGAAATCATTCCACGAACTGGGGAGTGATCTACAACCTCTCGTCAAGTTAAGAAATTTCCATCTTTCAGGTACTGCATTTTTCTTACCTTTGCCATGGTTAAATCAGCACCGCTATCAGTAAGGATGGTGATGAGCTCTTTGAAATTGTCTGGAGTGGGATGATAATGTCCACTGTGCGCTTCCATAAGCTGCAGACAAAGATATAGTGAAGTACTCATGAGCTTACAAGAGACAATAACTTCTTAAAGACATCCAGAGAGTCATCAGTTATGATCTTAGCTCTTAAACCGAGAGTATCACTACATAAATGCAAGCCAAATGGACTCTCAAGAGCAAAATGCATCAGAAGAAAGAAATACCTCTATGGTTCCATTCCTGACGAGAAGCCTTCCAGCCGCAATCGTTGCTCCTCCGGCCAAAAAGCTTGAGTGCTGCAGTTTACCTTTTTCCTTCTGTACACGTAGCACCGAACCGCAACAACTCAGATGACGTCGACAGCAAACATTCTCAGAAGGCAAAAACCAACGAGGATACAAAACAATTGCTGTTTAGAACAGCACTATCACAAACGCCAGATGCATTGTCTTTTCCTTTGGAATTACAATGTACATGAATATATTGTACATCTAACAGTAGACGGTAAGTTGCAGTCTTGCACAGTCCTTCGGTACTTAAAGGTATCCTTGTTCACCTACTCTGAGCAACATAGACGCATGCTATATTGAGGAAGGATCCATACCTTGCCAACATACAGCTTTCCACTGGTACTCATCACAAAGATCCACTTTTCTCCTTTGGGGGTATCCACGGGTTTCTCAGTCATTTTGTAAACCAGCTTTCCATCTTCAATCAAAACCTCAAACCACTTCCTTTCTTTCTGCAAATCGTGTCGAGTATCAATATCCATAGATCAAAATCTGGAACTGAAGCAATTTCAGAAATTTGCAAGGATATCAAGCATGTGAAGAATGTTTCAGGCTGGAAGAAAACATAAAACGTGAATCATGATCTCGCAAGACACGTACAGGACTGAGGTAACTGATTTGCTCATTTTGTAGCTTCGATTTCTTGCACTTCTCCAATTCCAGATCTTTACCTTCGCCGACATCTAGCCTGCAGGAGCAAACAAGATCTTCAGATGCTTTTAAGCGCTTTGAGTTTTAGACAATGTGCTGGATGCTGAAAAGAAGATTCTTAAGAAAAGCTGCAGAAGCTAAATCCGGAGGTGGCTGGCAATAAGGCCTTCCATGCAATCAGAATGAACGGCTTGAAAGACAATCACAACGTCCCGGTGCGTAAAGCTTGACTGCAATAGCACTTGGAAAACAATTAATCAGATCTCGCTCAAATGGATCAATCGTTCACTCATGGAGAAGTTCAGTACCAGTAGAAGAACGGTTCTTGAGTGTTGCTGTTGCACCACGCTTCATAGTAAAAGTGCAAGTTGTGCCCATATCGGTGCCTGGGGTCTATCTGCAGTATCATGACTCTTGGATTACTTCAGATATTGCTTCTTAAATACCACGTATCGATGCACTATAAGTCCAACTTGTTCCACCCAATTTCAATCAATTCAGAGAGGATTCAAGTCCATTTCCATAAGCCCGACTTTACGGCACGAGTCCTAGGACAAACATATATTATAAAACCTTGAAAGGAGTAAATGCACCAATAAATAACATTTCTCAATGATCCGTGATAAATATGAAAAGGAACGAAGTAAAAGAGGAGAGCTATTTGGAGGTAATTTCTGTACGCATGCGGCTGATGATCAATGATGCATAGGGCATCATTCTAGAGCTAAAGGTCATGCACAATACAAAAGAAACAGCGAGCATGGAGAAGATATCTTACTGAACGGATAAGCGTTTAATAGAGGAAACTTACAGCTTCGAGCCAGTGTTGAAGAGCCAATTTTCGTGCTTGTTCATTCTGGGACAAACCTTTTCCTACCTGAAATAACGGCCGAAATAAGTTGAAACAATAGTTAGGCTCACTCTATGAAAACGTGCTTTGAATGTTCTTGTGGAGCAGAGATTACGGTTCTACATAGACACAAGAAACAGATGCATTTGCCAATGCCTGCTTGCTTCGTAAGAGTACGTCAGCACCCATGTGGGATTTTCGGCAGCACGTGATCGAAGAGCATACACTACCTTGGCAGCCTTCCTTTTCAGCCTCACCCAGCGTTGAGCAGCATTCTGGGGTTTACTGTAAGCGTAGAACTGCGACGAGTTGTGGTGGAGCATAGCACCATCCACGACATTCCACCTGAAAAGATGCAACATGCGCTCATGAATACTCATTCATTGGTGGAACCTTCAGCTATCAAATCAAGTGAGCAGAGTCCTTTCCCATTTTTCATTTTTCAGAGGTACTTGAGTATGTACCATTCCAACCATGATAGGTGGACTAGAATTCTGAACAACTTTCATGAGAGAGTACTATTGATCATCCATGAACTTTGACTGGTCAGGAACTCCGATTATTCTGATGAATACTAGAGCTAAGGTTCAGACGGAGAGTTCATTTTCGCACCAGACAACGGTAAACTAGATGGGAACGACTGGATTATCTTGATTTCATCTTAAGTAGAGAGAAAGTAAGAAGTTGCAACCAATTGCTGAGTATCTAATCATAATTGGCTGGATGACTCCAGAGTCCACTACAAACAGCAGATGTCCAACTCTCAAATGAAATCCTGATGACTTTATGAATAGCCCCGAGAACAAATTTTCCGGAATTTTGTGCTGTCATGCACCGGATGTGTGTGGAGGACTTCTACCTTTCGACACATACTTCTACTAGAGTGTCGAAAGGCAGAAGTCCTTCCCCATGACTAGTTCACCCAATCATCGGTTTGGCGCAAATGGTCACGAAACCGGAGATCTTCAATACGACCATAACTGTCGGAGAAAACATCGAGAAACGAAACAAAGAGCAGCTCTGCCATTCTCCAAGTGCAATGCTACAGGCGTTTCTACAATGAAGACCAGAGCGAGATAGGTACAAATTCCAATTCATTAATTGACTTGCTTCATTGTCAATCTCCCACACTAAAAGCTTATTTTCTTGATCCAGGCAATTCTGGTATATCTCGATGAGATCCCAACGAGTCTTAGTCTTTTCTGGATCGCAAATGATCTTAGGCTACATTCATGAATGTCGCCAGGCTTAAGGAAGGTTTGAAGGCATTAAGCGCGGGAGACTTTCACTAGGACTATGCAGTAGTCTGATGGCCAGCCAGATCCGTGCCATTTAGAAATGTGATACTGCCAATTTACAAAACTGATTTGAGATCTCTAAGGTTCAGCTTGTGGTCTTGATTATTATAACTTAAAATTGAGCAGAAAAAAGGCGAAGAATCGAATCTTCAGATATACGATGTAAAGCAACCAAAAAGGACAAGTGCTAGATGGGGGGACTGGTCTAATCTAATATAGGGTTGTATAAGACATACCAGCCAAACTTTTGCGCCATGACTGCTGCATCCGCGATATTTCTTCGCGTCCGATAGCCCCTGTACAACCGCTGCACCTGCACAGCTGCTGTGTCTGCTTTCTCTGTATCACTCTGAACTTCTTTTTTCACGAGCCCATCGGGTACAGTCTCAGTGACCAATGCTGATGGCTGCTCGCCGTGATTCGCCGGCTCATCGCCCATTGCACCGATTGCGGTTTCTCAAATTCGAATAAGGATCTGAAAGTCCAAGCGCCACAGATAGGAGACAGCAATATCAACAGCAACAATCAGTTCCTCTATGTCCAAGTCCTCGGCACCTCACGACATTCTCTTCTCGACCCTGCTGCACTCAAACGCCTATCGAATTCCTCGGATTCGTGATCTGTGCAAAGGAATGCATTAATAGGGAAGAAGGCCAATGGCAGATCCAGATATATCAGACAGATCTCGGATAAACACAAGCAGTCCACGGCACCTGATGTCAGAATGGGAGTCAAACCCAAAACCTCGAGACGTGTAGTAAGTCTAGAACAAATGGCAGGCACAGGAGAAGCTCCCGAAAAGTCTGACATACCACGGTACTCTTAGCTGCTTCCTCCGATTGGTAGAAGACAAAGTCCGAGCGATCTCTCCCGAGCATTCACTTGCCTGAATCTGCAAGGAGATGAGTAATAAGTAAAGCCACAGTACTGCCAATCTAAGCGCGGTCTCGATGGCCACACTGCTCCACTCCAAGGTCCCGCTGACTGTTCAAAATTCTTCGGATCAAAACCGTGCTCTGGACTGCGCATTTTGTGCTTGTCCTCACTGTTTACGTCAACAGATGTCCCCAATCCACTAGCATTAAACTACTAGTAGCCAAACCCGTGAAACTCATAAACCCCAGAATGCGTTAGATATACATGTTGCCCGGTTTATACGTCCATTCAGCGTGAGAGAGAGCTCCTGTAATTACTACTGGTGGACCCAATTTCTCTCGATGGTACGAGTTTCGGGGACCTTAACCAAAGTTAGGAAGTTGGGGCCCAGATCCGACTGGAGAGGCTTTTCAGTTCATTTATCTTGTGGAGTGGATTTCCGTTTGTGGGCGCCTGATCTGCAGACGACCCTTTCTGGCTGGGAGAGCGATGTAAAACGTTGCTCTCCTGGAGACAATCATCCAAACCTTGAGACTGAAGAATCAGCCTGGCGCCCGCTGTCAACAGCCTGCGGTCTTGTCTCCCTCAGCGCGTTTGTTTTTTCACATTGATAGCCGGCTCGGAAACGGTTAAAATGGCTCACACAAGCGCGTTTCCTCAACTTTATTATGCTCCGTTGTTCTTGACTCGTTCTATTAAAACGACCTCAATACTCGCTTTGCCCTTTTGAAACTTACCTTGTCAATGTATTGTCCAATCAAAAGCTCTTCTCCAGGCAGTAAATACAGACCTTCCTTCCTGACTCACACATGCTGGGACCTTCATGTGTGAGACTTTCCAAACACTTCTAGAAGTATGAAGGAGGAAAGGATGGGACCGAGGCATTCCCACTTGTACATGTGAGATTGCAACTTCCTCCATCAGCTTCTTGTACTCCTTGAGGTCTGACGGTGACCTCGCGATGGTGATGCACAGATTAACATGAATCAGCAGATACAAGTAAAATTGCATCTCAACTCTCTGTTCCTTCTACAGAGCTACCTGCTCTGCCGGACGAAAACCCTCAATTTCCATTTCCATGGCCAAAGTCTTGCAGGTGCAAACCCAAGACTTCTTCCCACATCTAGATTATCCTTCCGCTAGATACCCTACTCACCGCCTTGACTGATACATCGGATAAAGGGGAATGTCTCTTGGAGCTTTCTGTCTTCCTCTCCTGCGAAATTCACAAACTAGTGAATGGATTTTTCCAACTAGTTTACAGACCTACCTTCGTCAGGAGTGGGTGGAAGGTCGAGCACGATAAACCGCCCAGACCCAGAAGTTACCATTGACCGATGCAGCCTGGAGTGATTATGAGGGCGATTGCTCTCCAGACCGCTACCAAACTGGTGGGTACGAGAGCCAACTACCCCGGGGGGACGATTGTACAGTACCAGCTAAAGACTGAGGGAGGGAAGAGGGAAGAGGGAGAGCAGAGTAGAGCACCGGAGGTCAGCGGAACAGTTGATCCGTTATCCGCCGTGTGGCCATGTCACTTGGCGACATCGAATCGGCCTCTCGAGGGTTCAGCCGATGGCGCATCTCGTCAAACTCCGCCTTCGACAGAGGAACAGTGTTGTGGCTATGGCTGACACGGCGCACAGAGTCCAGCAGGGCACGCTGAGGCGGCAGCACGCCCCAGAACGCGCCCGCTGACTTGGCTCCATCATCGTCTCGGCCCCGCGCGCGGCGGCTTCGTGTACGCGGACGTGGACGCCCCCCCTCGTGGACCGGATCGCAGCAGATTCATCTGCACGCATCGAACGGTCCTCTCGGCTCCTACACTTTCTCTCGGAGTTTTTCGGCTTCCCTTGCTCCACTGTCGATTCTTGCCTTACCTCCCCATTCATCTCTTACCTCCCCATTCATCTCGCAGTCCTCATCTCCCTTTTCCTCGACCAAGGGTTCTCGACCTTTTTTCCTTTATCGAAATTGCAGCAACTGCACTTTCTCGACTTTTTTCCGAGTCTTTGATCTTTCGTATAATCTTCTTGTTCAGCGTGTTCCGATTCTTATTTTCTTAGCAAGAATGGCAAAAATTCGAGATTTTTTATGCAATATTTGCTGTTTGTAGAATATTTGATCTGAATAGTTTGAGAAATTCTAGGTGATGTAGTTTTGGTTTCTTTTTGTTGTTGTGATTATTTTTTTGTTTGAACTTTTTCCACTTGCTCAAACTCAATTTTTTATCTCTTATTACGGTGAGTCGCTACCAGTAGCCTCCTTTTCTAAAAAAACCTAAACTTAATTATGGCGTGCAGGGTCGCCCCGTCATTTTTCGTAGTATCTACTTGGCCCTTCTATCTCTAGAACCTTGATTTGATATTAAAATGTTATAGGACATCTAGCCACATTCTACCCCTTCTGTTTCATGGACACGGGAGGTTAATGGAAAAGAACTGATTGGAGTTTCTCTTTAGTAGTCGGTTTCTCGCAGGAAGAGCATCACATCACATAACGCGTCGGATGAAAAATCAAACGTTGCAACATATCGATCTACTACTTGTCTTCGAAAGTAGATCTGGTTACATGTGAACACACTGGTTGCCATTCTTTCAACAATCGCAATTTCTGAATACTAGGAAAGTACAAGAGGAAATGACGGCACATTTCCCCTTGTACATTCCTCGCATTCAGAAATTGCCGTGATAATCCACTCTCATGCTGCTGTTCTACACTGTATTGAAGTCCTGTAGGAGGAGCGACAAATGGTAGGCTCTTGGATCTTGGACACAGATCAGTTTGGTTACAAAACATCCAGAAACTAAAAGTTGGTTCTGGATTCCTCGTTGGAAATATTGTCTTACGGGTGAGGACACCAGAGAAACACTTCAATCTGTGCTTGAATGCATCAGCAAAAGAGTACTTCAGTGGAAGCTTACGTAATAATGTTGCTTACAAAGAACATCAAACTTATGGAAAGTTGGATCCCGACTGAAGATCTGTAGAGCTTGTTGCAATAGTCGAGACATTCTTCTCTAAACTAGAAGAAAAGTGCTATTTGCTAATCCGACAGCAAATAGTCATGAGAGAACGTGTGTGAAACATCGGAGCGGTTTTCAAGGCAGCCTATTCATCCAGAAAACTATATCCACCGCTTTGCACGGCCACTGAGGAAATGTGTTTGTTTCATGCTGCCACTATCTTCCACGACTCCTCTGAAGGCCACCGTTTTCGGTGGCACAAATGTCTCCCCGTTCTAGAGGAACAATGTTACGAGACACGAGGTTTCTCGTAACGTGGCGAATGTGAAGGCGAGCCATGTTACTTCTGCATCCCACGCATGAGTCTTTGTCCCGAGTGAGTTCTTATGTTCAAGTCGAACTCTGTATAGGTAGGTCTTCATGGAAATCGGAGCTTTACTTTGCAATGTGGAGACTATTTCTCGATGAGTCCTATTCCTTGTAGAACATTTTGATTCGCATGATTTGATCTGTGGCCTGTTGACCTAATCATGTTTCTGTTCCGGCTTTCCATTTGTTTCTCGTGGGCATATGTCTGTCATGGACCAAACTCTTGACTATCTCGTGAATGTTGTTGCTAGGACATTCTGGGCCGCATCAGGGGATAGTCAATGTCGAGGAATGCTTTGGCAGCTGTGGGTCAGTCTCGCAGAAGGGTCCTGTTGAACCTCCTCACATGGTCCATAAGACCCACTTTCCGGTGGAGATACCTGCACCTGCGAGGGTACTACCCCGTATGATGCTGTCACCCACTCTTCTTTTGATATTCAGAATCAATTGATGCAGAGTTTCACTTTTTATGCTGCTTTCTGGAATACCGACGTCTAGAGAACGAGGCCTTGTTTGAGTATTCTTGAGAGCCATGGCTGGGAAGTAGAAAACCAGGGGACACACCGAGACATTGTTTACAATCGATGTTTCAGGATTGAAAACATCAAGTGCACGCACCTGAACTTTCGAGGTCGTGTGGGTCAAAGAGGGGAAACTCCGAACCTTTGAAGCTTCTCGACAGCGATCAGATTAAAGAATTCAGAACTCACGCACTGAAGAACGACAGCTTTGTCAGATGCTCGTGGCACGTCATCGTCGTGCAGAGATGGAGCTAGCTCATTGGAGTTTTTGGACCATGATCGTCACTCGTTCAAACTTCCGAAAAATAGAGTCGCACCTCGTGCACCTTTCAGTCTGCTAGCTCCTACAGGTAGATCACGCAGACTTTGATAAATGCCCTGTCTCCGGGCCAGGGGTCTCTGTGGACCTTCGGATCTCGGCAAACATGGAAGAAACTGATATTCTTATTCCTCCCTGTTTTAGTAAACTTTGACGTCGTCTGACTTTTAAAAGCACCTGGAAACTCCACGTACTCTTGACGCATCAGATGCTTACCCGTAAGCACATTTCTTCAGGAGCCACTTCGGTCACGAATCCACATTTGGCCACGCATTTACGTGATCAATGAATATATGTGGGCAATGTAAAGAGTTTCCTCGGACAAGCAAATGTCAAACGTTACAAGACAACGGGAGATGGTTTCTCCTCCTCGCAGAGCATCATGGTGTGCGCCCATCAGTTTGTACTTGTAGACCTAAACCACATAAACCTGGTGCATTTAGCTTTGATTTCAAGCACGGCCTGAAGCCTAACGAGATATGGACTCTGCTGGTCCTGAGCATCCCGTTGCTTTGTAGGCTGCAAGAGCGGTTGAGTTTCGGATCTGCAGACAATACGTCGATGCATCCTGAAGTGCCAACCTGTGCACCTGCTGCTCAAATTTAGCAGGATTAGAATCTGAGTATTTCATATTCAACTGGTTATGGGCTGTCACAAATGACATCCAAAGGCCGGGATAATTTTGAGGCCCACATAATACCGAGGGAGAGTTGTTGATGGAAGAGGCTAAAAAGACTACTGAGGCTCAACTTGTCGTCCTAGGGGCAGAGTTGATGTCATGATGAGGGATACTGACGAGTAAATTGACCGTCACCGCTAAGACAGGAAACTGCTGGTCGGACTTACGTCACCTACGGACTGCTATGATGAAGAATATTAATTTTGCCGTTCGTCAATTCGATGGTTAGTGCAATCTAAGGTCGAATGCGAATACACTAACATAAGTACGAGGAGAAAGTCTGAGGAGTTGGCAGATGTGAAGCCCAGAGTCTGAGAGTCTGATTTCCTGTCTCATGATGCTCCACTGTCGGAAAAAGGTGAGATAGCATCGTAAACTTATCGGCATTCATGATTATCTATGGTCCCACCCCGTATTGCGGATCAAGATCTCAAAAGTGGTCAAAAAGCAAGCATCCACTCGAGTAGACATTCTTGGAGATCCCTCAGGAACTACGAGGTTTGAGTACGATGGAAGTGTACACATGGTATTAATTTCTCCAATTTTAAAGTCTAATCAATGTGCTATAGTCTGGATGAGTATGGAGCTGAATTCTATGTTCAGGCCCCTAGTCTGAGTCCGTTGCAATTAGGCATTCTTTCTACAGGTTCAACACAATACGAAGGTTTATGAGTGAAAGCACGAACCCTGCTTTATAACAGCTGATGTTCTGTCCGAGCCGATCAAACAATTACGCTTCCGCTTCCAGTCTCATTTGATCTAAGTAATGCGTAGCAAGGTTTGCAGCCTGCCTTTTGTGGATATTCGAAGCAAATTGTTGCCTAGCTCTCTCTGTTCAAAGAAAGAAATTGCAAGTGAACTTGATAAAAAGAAAGCGGAACTTTGAGGATATCTATCGTAGATGAAGTTAGAACTTACTTGTTTTACCACCTGATTCGGTTGTAAGAAATAAGTGCTATAACATGGACACCAGTAACTTCGGTTTGAGTGCACATGTCTGCATCTTGTCATCCGCAAAGTTCGAAATCCACAAACACTGTATAATCTGTTGTGACGGTTGATCGGCCAAGTCTCGGTCATAGAGGAGTACTGCATTTTCCCTTACAGCTTTTCTGTGAATCAGGTAAATGACGTGGGAACCATTTATATTATAATGATACTAGAGGAAACTTATCTGAGTAAAAAGCAATGGGCGCTATGGAAGATGCTTAGAGGGTCTAGAAGAGGAAGCAGAAGGCATAGAAGTAGAGTATGCTGATCAAATTTTTGTTATTTGAGTCTTTGTGTATCAAGTTTATTAAGTTAATCAAGTTATATACTCAATCTGGTTATTTATTTGCTAATCAACTTGATATATAGTCAAGCTTGATACGTGAGCGGTTGGTAATAAGTAATGTTTATCTTACTGGATGTTGACTACAATCTGGAGTTGGAGGTTTTCCGGTATCAAATAGAGTTGAGCTGATAAAGTCTCGTATGTACGTGCTGTACTTACTAACTAAAATGTCCCTTGTCGAAGGATTCAAGTACTGCCACAGCTTGCTTTCGTGAAGTCATGATCACATATTTTTTATTGGAGGAATCTGCGAGTTTTCGGCTTGCCAGGAGTATTATCATAAGTGTTATTAATACCTCGACCTAAGTATTACCCAAACTGTTGGAATGTTTTATAAATCTGCCGTCAAATCGTAAATTGTGGATCGTGTCCGAAGCTCACGACCAAAAAGGTTCTTCAAAACAGCATCTTCATGTGAGCATACAGACAACTTTCCAGCCCATTTGAACAGATTCTGATCGAGTGGACACTAGACTGGACTCGTCTCATTGGACGTTATGTCGCTATATAAGGAAGGTTGACATACTTTGCAAGATGATGGAACAACCCTTTGAGTTTTGTACAAAACTTCCCAAACTCACCCTAAATTGGACAGAACTTCATTTTTAAAGGCGACTAAATCAATCCTCTGTTTTCATCATTCCGATAGCTGTAGAAAGATGACTGAGTCGTGTTGACCTTTCTATCTTACAGAAGTTCCAGGATAACTCCATAGATCTGGACACAGCAAAGACGCATGATCAGACCTCCCTTATACTTTGTGGAAGGGAGATTTTGTCTGTGGCTGAGTAAGCAACGTGACTTCGATGTATTTGTGATTTAGTGAATTGCTAAAGGTGAACCTTGCAGAGAATCCTTTCCAGGATTGAGAACGTGGTTTTCCCTGTGGAATAATAAATGTAAATATTATTGATATAGTTTAACGTCTGATTTCAATTTGATCACAATCTAACACATGACGATTATGAGTTGGAAGTTCATTTTTTTCAGTATGTGCCGGCATTATGGATGACTTTCAGGATGGAAGGAAGTAAGGCCTGAATGGTCATCCTCAATATTGCAATCATACTTCTTCGTGCACAACATGAAGATATGATGCCTTACAAAGGCAGTCCTACATCCAACTTTTGGGCAATCCACTTGATTTTATCATGATAAAACTTTGACCACGACCACATTCATGAATTATGGGGCCGAAAAGCAACGAAAAGGGTTGCTGCAGACAAGCTATGGAACTCATCATACTCTTCCTCCATAGACACAACCAAAGTCATTGAGTACTTGAGCGTATCATTGTCTCCAGGAATTATTTCGTTTGTATTGTGGTGACATAATTTAATGATATTTTAACACATGACTATGAATCCACATTTCCCTTTTGCTCTCAATAAGAGTTATCTATCATTCTGCTTTAAACACGAAGCTTGACTTTGAGACCTTTGAACGTAGAGAATATCATCACAGGAGAAAGAAAGAGGTAGAATAGAGGCAACAAAGTGACCACTGCACGATCGCTTAGTGTGAGACCTTGCCCCGTAGTCTCACTATTCTTTCACCATGTCATACATTCTCTCGGGTACAATTGCGCGATACAGATTCCTATGATTCTATTCTGCAACTTCTTCCATTAATATAAAATAGGAGAATAATTTTCAGATCCGCATTCATCATTCATAAATATAAGAAACAAAAAATTAGCAGAGTGAGTAGATGTCATGCTTTCAGCGGTACAGTCCTGCGAGAGTTATGTGGTAAATTTAACTATTTGAGTACCGGTCAGATTACTGCAGAATGATGATTTTTCCACGATTAGCAAACTCTAACTTCCAGAAATAACCATATGAGGATCTAGAAACAAATACATTTCGCATCCCTCATTGGCCTCAGTTAAAGAGAATCGAATGAGGAGATTTGATGAACATCATTCTCCCCAAGTCCAGTCTGTAATATGCAGTCAAATTATCACAATGTCAACACATACTTGATGTACTGAAATTCATGCGCGAGATATACCTGCATGTCTGCAAGTTTCACTCAAATTGTATCATCATAAACCGGAGTTTACTAGTGCCCCTGCTGATGAGACGGTTATCGTCCACCTGCACTCGCAAACTCTAATAACAAAGTTGCCCCAAAGAGAGAACCCCTGAAAGCTCAGCTCCTAGCTTGGAATCAACGTATGATTCGAGATGCAGCAAAATGCATCTCCACTGTTGAGAATGTTCAACCCCCTGAAATCCATACATACATCTCCCGATACTTTAGGCTAGCAAATTCACTCACCGTCTCTGATACAGTTCAAAAAAGTGGCACAAAGGCAAAGGCCTGCCTCCTCAGATTGACTCACGACAACATCCAGAGACCCGGCGGCCAAGTCAGTGGAACATTCTGTAACGTCCGTCCGTCCCTCACTTCGAACAGCGGTGCTCGGCATGCAGCGTTCATAACGCCGTCTAGAACCGTGAGGCCTGGTCTGCGCCATGGGATCCAAGTCACGAGATTCGCCCCTGAACCTCCTCTGTCTGTACACACACTGGTGCGCTGCGGTAGTAGTCCTTGGAGCTAGCCCCTTCCCATGCCCCATCCTCCTCCTCCTCCTCCTCCTCTACAGTCCCAGATACGACCACCAGATCCCAAACCGCCCTCTCTCCCTCGATTAGCCCTGGTACCACGTACATCCTACATACGTCAAAGTTTGACTCTTCGACTTGATACCTACACTACAACTCAACTCAAGAGACTCCTCGTGTTCGACTTGGCCATTTATCGGAAGATGTGTCGACAATGTGTGCGAGCTATAGCGCATTGAACTTCGATTTCGTTTTCTTCCACACTCGGATGGCGGTGATCATCATACAGCAATCATGTGTCTCGTACGCCTCTCGTCCTCCTCGTCCTTTGGGCTGTATGAAATATCCATCACACCCGAGTATGTATGTACAGACAAGTCGGCCAGGTAGCAAAAATGATGGATGACACACCATCATTAAATTATACATGGATAAAACCGGATGAATAGATAGAATGGGGTGGTCCCCAATAGCACCTCGACGGCAAATCTATTTTATTGCACCTCATATACAAGATTGTCTCGCCAAAAAATTCAGCTTGTTACGTAACATGTGAAAATGATCACTGACATTCACCTTTTTCTCATCCAACTTTTTCATTCTTTTAAAATATCATATACGTCCATTAAAAAAAATGTTAATTACATAATAAAGGAATTGATTCCCTATTTTGATTACTGTAGAAAGCTCCAACTTTCGCTCATAAACTTGTCCAATTTTAAGTTTACAATATTTCAAAACATAAGGAGGAACTAGTTCACCAAACAGGAATGCTGTGTATCATCTACCGATCACAAACAAAATTAGATGAAGTATCTTGTATCACAACATGTGAAACCTTGTACCTGCTAACCAAGTATAGGTATTCATTATGTGAGTAGACCGTTGAGGAATACTAGTGTTCATTCCATGCTGCGCTTAAGTATTATGGGCAAGCCACAGTAGATTGATATTTGAGCTCATTGTCTCTAGTGCCGGTGTGCTAGGGTAAAACAAATTCTATTTATTTCAAGTGTCGGCGCTAAGCCCTGCAACATCATCATAATCAATCATTTCCACGTACCGGTAAGATCTACGCGCGTACTCACGTATTGAGGTATAAGGCTGCACACAACGAGTTTATTCGTTCGTGAGGCGAATGAGTACTCTAAGAATTATTGAACGTATTTGTCCAAGGAAGACAAAGAGCAACTTTATGGATCTAGCTTATGGATCTCGTAGGGAGGAATTTTAGTGATTGTGACGGGGCTCTTCATTTGTCATTGTCCTTTTTATGAAGCAGAATGGAGGTTGTTTGGGTGGATTAAGTTAAGAGAAGCGCCATAGGTGTTACAATTGTATAGTCCTCACTTTACATGACTCCACGCAAGCGGCCTGGAGATATATCTGGGCATGAGTGCAATCACTTTCTGCTTTTAGAGTGGCATGGCAGAGACAGTAATCTTTGTGTCCATGTCGAAACACATAAAAGCAGATTTCATTAGAGAGACTTTGACTAGAAATTTCTAACACTGGACACCACCTCCAATTTACAATTGGCTTTCGCTGTCATGAGGGCTTAAGGATGTCAATTAACTATCGCATGAAAACCTAGAAACGAGGGTGACGCGGAACGCCTTCTTAGAACGTCATGTACAAGCCACACGAAATTCTATAGATGCTACACTCGAAACTAGACACTTTGTATCGATCAATTGCTCGCTCTCTCTCGCTCCATGATCTAAATGGAAGGGGGGTTCTTCGAGGCGCGCGTTAGTTCGCTGCAATTGACGAATTGGTACTCAATATTTGATTACTGTATGGGCAGATATTGATTTGACCACTTTGATAGTCGACGTAATTCGGATCCCAGCGTACGTCTGAAATATCTTTGGCGATTAAAACTTCCAGTTCCATGCGAGGACCACGGCTTCTCATCATACTCTATACGCACATACAATATCCATGAGGAGGCGGCTACAAGTACCGATCCTGAGAAGCTGGGACCTCTTCACAATGTCGCCATGGCCAAATCCAAGTCAAATCTACACTCCGGAATTGCAAGACTGGCAGATCATCTCTTCCATTCTGCTCTTGCTCTTCGCCCACGTAATCTGAATTGGCATCACAACCTCGTGTCATGTTTGGTAGTCTTACGTTGTCATTGGCGAACTCTGCTGGCAGTGGCCATTCGGCACAAACGAGATCGCTCGTTCTTGAGAGTTTTCTGAATCTGATGTGTCCACATTACAGAGGTTTGTTGGCTGCACCTTACTTCGTCTAGGTTCCGCTACCATCTGATGTGGAGGGAAGCGAATTGTTTGTCCTGTACATGCAGCGAAAGCGCATTAACTCACATTGTGAAGCGCGGAAGAGAGATGGCTATAATTTATGAGAAGCAAACAAAACATGATCTTCATTCGGACAACCCGTCAAGGGGAGAGGTATTGCCCGGCTATTGTTGGAAATTGTACCTGCATTGTGGTCGGTGAACTCGACCTAATCAAGGTCTACGTTCAAGTCGATATCAAGCAATAGACCAATGATTTGAACTACCTGGGTCTGCTCAACAGAAAATAGTGTTTTATGTTGCGGGGCCAGAGGATTGCAGCCACTATTGGGACCTGTCGAACAATAAATTTCGGCCAATAATCTTACTAAACTATGCCCAAGAAAATCTGGACAACATTGCGGCCTATGCCGGTTGGACAACATACGGTGGAGTAGGCACTCTAGCGAGTGCCTTTAGTAGCTAACTCATGACTGCATAATATGCAAAAGGAGTTCCCGGTGAACTATAAAAGCACAGGCACTTTTGTCCGATTGTGGGAGTGAATTGAAATTTTGTTCGCATGCCCCGCATTAATGTAATCGTCCACTGAGGACTGCAAAAGTAAGATGATCTCGCTTTTTCTCATCTCTAGGGAGGCTTTCAGCAAACTTGACATAGCCCGGCAGTAGACGTGCTCTCGAGAGCGATCTTGGACCGAATCGCAGCTTCAACTTACTTTCATCCATGACCTCTTATGCTCCGGACACTCTGCCAAGCTGAGCTGTTTCGGCATCATCATCTCTGTGGCTGGTTCCAGGCTTCCAGTCGATGTGAATTATCCGTCTAAATTCCACTCGGTACAGATCTACACAATACTGTAGAGAGGAAATGCTCGCAGCTGAAATAATCAGTACGATACCGAAATTGACGACCCAGGGGCCGAGTAAATACCTTCATCAGAACCAATGGGACTGATCCCTGACTCACAGAGCATCCTTGAGAACCATCCCGTCAGACACTGTCTGACGTCGCTTGTGAAGGCAACGGGCTTGGGTGGGCAAGTCAAGATTTCGCGATGGGATTAGTTAGCACATTCATGACCTGCTAGTCTAGCCTGACTCCAGCATTATCCAACACACAAGATGCGTGTTCCTCTTCTAAATAGAGCTAATCACGTGATGGCACGGCCAACTTTTGAAGAAGAGCACCTTCCAGAACATTAAGGTGTCCATTATTAAGGTAATGGATATACCATCCATGACCATAATCTTGTTCATGTTGACCTGACCAACCGCTGCTTGACTCCGAGCCTCGAGCTAGCGATCGGCTGTTTCTGTACAGTAATTCTGATCCTCGTCCATGGGAGCTAGTCGAGCCATTAGCTGAACCCTTCTCCGATGGAACTAGGCGGCAGGGGACAGTGCGACAGGATGTTCAGAGTACCGTGGGCGAAAGGACTCTGTCCAGAATTGAATGTCGATCACTAGTGGCACAATTGGAACTGAGCCTGAAGGCCAGCACCATCATTGGAAGTAATCCGTGATCCTTCCCGAGGGCGCCAAGAAAAGACAGCGGAATGCCGTCGACTTTGCTTGACGTTTACTTCATATTCTTACCGAAGGCAAGGCAGGAGGACATCATACCGTAGACAGAACCAAAGCACTAAACTCTGGAAGGAGATCACGGGCAGCAGAAGGAAGCAAGGAGAGCTGGCTGGCTAGCACGCTCGAGTACCTATCGGGCTGCTGCAGCTAGTCTAGCCGCATGTACCCATAGCTCTGCAGGGCTGTGCAGTGGAAAGAGAAACACACTCATTGGTTCGGTTATTGCAGGCGGCTGCCTGCCTTTGCTTCTCTGTCGTGTGGACCGCTGGCTGGCGCGACTGGAGTTCGCAATCGCTTTGACAAAGTGCGTGCCTTCTAGCCCACCCTGGGCCCTCGTCGATTTGGCTCAGGCTCCAGCTAACTTGGCGCCCCCCACACATTCAGTACATTATTCTTCCTGGACCACCATTTTCCGCCCGCAGCATGTGGATTCTGCTGTCGTTGCCGTTCGGGGTTTACAACATGAGATACCCTTGATTAGCCTTAGGACGTCGATTCTGTTTTGGAAGTGTCTTTGGCGTGCTTTAGCGATTCTTCGTTTGTAGTTTGATTGTGCCAGAGTTGTGCTTTAATTGCGTTGCACCAGCGCAGCTTTTGAACGATGGTTCGTTTCTCTATCCTTGTTGTCATCCCTCTCTCCCCACCCACTCTACAGGGAACCTTCGCATTCCGAGCACTGAACTAAAAAATACGGGATCATTCCAACGTGTTCAGGCCGGTGCGTGGGGGATGAGTTGCGTGAGGTACGTACAATCAACAGATTAAGGAAGAATGCAAATGTATCAAGGAAGATTCCTTGGAGCTTTGAAACATGGTAGGCGATTTGTTGAAGTGTTCTGTTTATCAGGCATTGGGTAGTCCTCGACCGCGAGCGAAGCCAACTCTCATGATGAGAAGGCTCAATGGTAAGTTACAGAATTCATACACGTCTAGATGTTTCCACTTACGCTGGATTGACATTCATCCTCGAGAGAAAGACAAATCATAATTTCGACCGGAACGACAATGATGATGAGGTTGAAACCATTTGAAGGGAAAACGACGGCGACTCAGGATGAATGTTCAATGTTAAACCCATATTCCTTTGTTGAACGCAATGTACAAGTGTATTAAAATTATGAGAAACCCTGCTCTCGACTTCAAGAAACTCATGCTTCTTTCTTGAAACAATCAGGACAATTGGAGGTCTTGACCCTCGAAGTTCTACTTCTGAAGAGTATCCATAAGAGAATTCTCCTGAAGAGGTTTCACATACGTAGAAGATCCAACAAGAAGTTATGCATTCTAGTAATGCCTACTGGGAGCTCGGGTCTCGTGAAAGTTCATCCAGGCTATGTATCTCATGAAGACCAAGTATCCACCACCGCCAGCCCCTGAGAGTATGTTCTCGTCCACCTTCAAGATCCTAAAGAAATTTAAGCTGTTCGCTCTCAGATATACTACGCTACAGAAAAAATTAAAGAAATTAAAACGATAAACTGAAGATTCGATGTCTGGTATAGTAAATCTCTGCATGACCCTGTTTCGGACATGGCTGCTAAATCAGCTGCTACTTTGAAAGAAGCGAATAGAGCTTTTGCTGCTTGAGCTAGCTGCACTTAGAGAGGGTTGGAATGAAGACAGCGGCCTAGGGGCCGGAGGAATTGGTGCATCTCCTGCGAGATATTTCAGCACCTGTCTCATGGACGGTCTTTGGGCGGGATCGGGTTGAGAGCAGAGGAGTCCGACCAAGAGAACAGCCTGAACTTGGGCAGCCACGAAGTCCCCTCCCAATCTTTTATCGACCGCGGCGGTAATACCGCCATGACTATGAAGCCCCCACACCCAATCGACAATGAAAACCTCTTCAGATGAAAATGCTCCTTCGATCGGCCTCCTGCCGCAGGCTACCTCGAGAGCAACCGCTCCGAAGGAATAAACATCGGCCTTGATCGATCCTTTCCCGGTCTGGAATGCCTCGGGCGCAGTGTACCCGAACGAATCACGAGCTTGAGCATGAGAGGCGTCAGCCTTCTTCTTCGTCTGCTCTTCAATCAAGCCATAGTCCCCGAGCTTGGCATTGAACTGCTCGTCCAGCAAAATGCTGCTGGACTTGACGTTGCGGTGGATCACTTGCTGATTGTACCGCCCATGGAGGTAGTTCAGAGCTTCTGCGAGGCCGGTGATGATGTTGAACCTTTGTGGCCAAGAGAGGCACTCTCCGGCCTCGATGTCCTGATACAGAGCTTTGGACAGACTGCCCTGAGGCATGAACTCGTAGACGAGAATGTACTTGCCCCTGTCTCGGCACCATCCCAGCAGCTGGACGAGATTTCGGTGGCGCAGCTGGGTCAATGTCGACAGCTGCGCGTGCACCTCCTTCTCCTGCTTCGAGTTCACATCCCGCAGCCTCTTCACCGCCACGACTGCTCCCGTCGAGGCCAGCACTCCCCTGTACACATTTCCTGTGCCATTCCCGAGCTTCTCCTTGTCGCTGAACCCCTGAGTGGCCACGCTCAGCTGCTTGTATCTGAAACTCTCGGGCCCATACAATGCGGCATCGCCTGAGTCTTGGCTCTTTCTCCTCAGAAGCCAAAGCTTCCGTCGTTTGCCCAGCAGAAAGAATGCGCAGATGAAGATCAGCACGCCCACTCCGATGGGGAGGCCGACTACGAGCCCCGTGAGGACATTCGACAGCGAAGCCCGGGAGGACGAGGGAGGCTCGGAGGCTGGAGTCTGGCGAGGGATGGGCAGCCCATTCCATGGGTCAGTGGGCACGAGGTCAGCTGCGGGCGGGGCGAATGGCTCCTTGGCGTGGCTGTTGAAGCTCCAGGAGTAGATGGTGTGGAGCTCGTAGGAGTCGCCGGTCGCAGCAGCGAAGCCCACGTACATGAATTCGTTCACCACGTCCGTCATGTTCAGAATGTAGTCGATCAAAGGCTCGGCGGGCTTGTTGGAGGCGTTTCTTCCGATTCTGACTTGCAGGCTTTGATTTGAGCTCTCGTAGTCGATCCAGGCCGTGAGCTCCCTCCCATCCTTGAGGTTGATGTCCACGGAATTGGCACTCTTCACTATTTTGGACGTGGCGTTCTCCAAGTTTATTCCGACATGGTTATCGTCTATATCCTGGATTGGGGCCTCGTTCCGATAAGTGTCGAACTCTACGGCTAATGTGTTGGCGAGCCTCGGCCGAGCTCCATCCGCAGTGCTGCTGTTGTATATGCCCAAATTTCCTCCGTGCTCTCCCAGAGAGTGGTCATCGGGGGAGATGAGAAAAGCTATTCCATCTCCGCAGAGCTCTCGAGCGCAGCTCAAGTTGTTGATGGAAAATGTGAAGTACGTGCTGAACGACGCTGCTTGGCCCGTCGTGGCGTCCCGCATTCGGATTCTCTCGGAGTAGAAGGCTTTGCCCACTGCCATCTCGTTGTCCGGAGCAGAAGCCATCTCGTTGTCCGGGGTGAGCTGAAGTTGGCCATACAGCACGAAGGACGACCCGATTGTGGTCAGGCCTGCGTGGGAGTTGGAATCAGGAACAAAGTTCGGGAAGAAGAATCGTGATGTCTGCCCGTGCACCACTGCTCCTGGCCAAGACCAGCACAGCAGCACCAGCAGAATGCTCACCCGCAGTTCCATGGGACCAGCAGCTACGGACCGGTCGGTATCACGTCATGATCGTGTTCAGGCTGCATGCTGAACACAAGAGGCCAGTGTTCCGATGCCCATGATCCATCGTTGCGCTGCTACCCTTTGTGCATTGCCGACGCTGTGGTGATCTCAGCAGCTTTCGAAGTGCGTCACTTCCATCTTCTTGAATCCACAGCACCCAAACTGTTGCCGTTCCGAGCTGCTGTCTGGACAAGAAGAGACAATAATGTGAGTACATCTCCGTCAATAATACTCCCATAGAAGCCAAACTGAGCAGGCGTCAATAAGAATATCCCCATGAAGAGCATGCGCACTTACAGAGCAGAGCAGAGCAAAACGCGTGTGTGCCTGGCTTCGACCTCGCTCTACTCAAGGCTAAAAAATTCGCACAACTTTGGACGAGAAAAGCATTTGGCTGCTAGCTCAGTGTACAAATATACACTCGGATGGGTTTCACACAGAGAGGAAAGCCTACGTGGGACAGCTGCGGCTGCTGTCTGTCTTCCCGCATGGCTGGCCTTCCCACAATTGAAGTAGACACTAGAAGCTTTTTTGATCTTATAAGAGTGGGTCATGTCATGCCAAAGGCTCGCACACTCTCTGTCGTCGTCCTCCTCCCCTTCTCTCTCTCTCACCGTCAGTCTCTCTCACACACATACACACTGGCGGGAGGAGAGAGATGGGAGAGGACACTTGAGAGGAGTTCAGCCCTCTATGCAGCCGAGCACTACAGGAAACTAGAAACTCGGATAACCACTGTGGAGTCTTCCTCTAATGCGTCACTGGAGCCCGCACGCCTGACTGGTCAGATGCCGACAGGAATGACAGTACAGAACTAACCCCGATGCGTTTCGCATGCATGGAGCCTATTACACGATCGTCGAGCTCAGCGAACCACAGCTTTGTCGAATCCTTCTTACTGCCCCGATTTTCAAATCTGGAGCGACTTTCTGTTAAGTTAAGCTCAGAGCTCTTCTCTTCCTTTCTCTCCTCTCTCGCATTGCAGTCGCCTTACTGTGAAGGAGGGAGGGAGGGAGGTAGTGCCACTGTGTGTGAATCCGCACTCATTACAGCCTCAGGGCTTTGGTGAAAAGGACACTCTACGAAATCAGACTCTTAGTAGGCTCATAGTAGGTTCTCGAGTAGACGAAAGCTGCAGTGGTCCCAACGAGAGTGCTACCATGGCGGTGTTGCAATGCTACTCTGTCCCGTGGAGTATCGTTGTTCACATTCTAGGGCTCTAAGACCTCCAAGAACTGTATCAAAAACACTCCCTCCGTACGCATATCCCTGACTTCTTGCTATTCTGCTTTTCCTTAGATATAAGAAGGAAAGAAAAGGAAGGCAACATTAAATCAATTGGATAGGATCGAACGTGCACTTGGTTTCTCCATCTAAACTACTCGTCCCTTCGTAACGAGAGATCTTTGCTGGGAATAGAAGATACTGTTCTATGCACATGGATTGGGCGTGTGTAAATTGTTTCGAAATGGAATGCCAACCATGTAACGTCGTAGTTAGAGAGCAATCGATTTCCACAAGAACGAGGCTGCTCAGTCCGTTGCTCTCCTCTCAATGCAGTGATGCAGTTCTCACGGAAGAGCAGAAAAATGCCGTTGAGCAGTAAAAGTAGGTTCTCTGAGATGCACATTCTTCCAAGGTCAGGTGAATTTCCAAACTTAATGGAGTTCTACACGATGTTACCTGAGGGAGCTAAGGCAGATAAGACGGTCGCTGTAACCGAGACCAATTCATTAGCGTCCTGTTTAATAAGCATGTTTGAATGACGACTTGACCAACATTGGCATGGTCCCTGACTGTGTGGGCGGAACTCCCTTGAAGCCTCCCTTCCAACTTCCAAGTTCTCACATCAAATGTTCGAAATGGTTTTAATTATGGCTTTTCCCGGTTGACGACCACGGTCCTCTGAGACCAAAGCTTTGATGGTCCACCACTTTCCATGATAGCCGGGATCGTTGAAGGTTCAAGTTGCCTTTACGAATTGTGTTCGGGGGTAGTACGACCGACGTTGTGTCCCTACTAGACATCTGGTAGTTTAATGGGGATCGCTCTGGAGGATGCCACTATCCATGGATGAGGATGTCACACAGCATATGAAACAAAAGTGTATATCTTTCTATCCATACATTGCTACCCTGTAGTAGGAGATGATGGATCATAACCAGGATGATATTGTGGTGAGGGCGACCATGTAGAGCGAGAAACTGAATAAGAATGCAAGATAATGCACCGGCAGCATCTGGGCTACTCCTGCTGTGACCTATCTGTCTATGGCTACAGCAGTGGAAAAGTATGGCTATGAGACTATGACTAGGGCGTTCGTTTACTACGTCTCAAACACGTCACAATAAGTGGACGTTACCGAGTGAGGCGTATGAGACTCATGTTTGGAAGATGTTGTTCCTGGTGAGCCCCCAGTCCAGGCATTCAGGTTCGCCTGCGGATGTAATCTGCAGCAACAATGTTGCTTCGGTGACTGTAGTTCTTTTGGACAGAACTCCACCTCGAATTGGTCGATGGCAGAGAGGATGGAGATAGAGAGAAGTCGGTGATGTGTACCTATGGTGTATACACATAATTCTGTCTCTGCCGGTCAGGGACCACTGTTTGGTTTCTCGACAATAATCAATGCATCCTACTGTAGGGCTTAGATTAGCACGTGAAATATAATCACTCGGCTTTGAGTTGCACTGTTCGGATTCTGATGAGCTACACGGGTTCTCGGAATGTACCATTTTTTTAGCTCAGATGTCATGTAGAACAGAGCTACCCGGGCCCATCCTCTCACTCGTAATTGCTCCAAGCATGTAAGCGAGCATGATGCATGATCACAGTTGTAGCGTCTCTCAATCATGATCTAGATATCTGCTTCGCTTACTTTGCAGAAAGCAAGCAGAGTAGCTCCTCCAGAGTCTGAACACAAAAGCGAGGCTGGGCGGGCGATTGGAAGCGGAAAGCCTGCAAAAGTCTGCAGTTATATCATAGAGGTCAATTCGGGAGAGGGTGAGCCTTCCTGCAACAAAGTTAGTTCGAGTGGGCCTGCCTTGACTCGACCCAGCATTCATCCACGAAAATACTCGTGCTTGGACATTTGGGATTCATCTACTTAATTTCTCATGCTTTTTTAGTTTTGTTTGGCTTTGACCAGAAATCTTATGTGTTTATGGAATGCCTTAAAATGTCTTGTGATTGACTAGGGTTGGTGCATTTTCATGTTCACTATAAGAATATGAAGTTAATGTTGGGATTTAGGTGGTGGTGATGACTTCTCTAAAATAGTTTCAATTTGTATGTTGTCCATCTTTCTAGACAGGGAGTGAAAATGTATTATAGGTATAGTTCGATGTAGACTCTCTACTACTTTAGTCTTGGAGTTGTGTGAAGCTATGGACTTTGATTTCAAGATGTTTGTGAGAGAATGTGCTAGAATTCACCATAAGAATTGGTATGAGTATCATTCGCTTTACCGTGGTTTACTCATGGAACATGTTTGGGTGTCTTTAGGAAGAGAGGTAATTAATCATATTTATTAGAAAGCATTAGTGTAAAGTTATGTTTCATTGAGTGCAAGTGAATATTTAGCTCCTCTGACGTAGATACTTTGGACATATATGATGCATTAGGACATATTTCTCACTGAATACTTCTACGTACTGGTTTGGTTCATATAATGTGCTACATTAGAAGAAATAAATCATTTTTTCCCTATATTACTCGATGACTTGGTAAAAGATGTTTTTCATGTGTTTATAAAGGATGGAAGTAGTAAAAAAAAAAAAGGTACAGATGCCAGTTTTTAAGCACAAGATTTGTTATTTAGAGATTAGATTATGATAAAACCTTCGAAAACATGAGCTATCTGGTTGGTCTTGTTTATTAGGTTTTATTTTTATTCTTATTCTTAATGATAGTTAGGTAGTTAATCTAGTTAGATGTTGAATAATGTTAGTTGAAAGTACTGAAATTTTAATTTTAATGCATTTGTAAATCATAGGAGACAGAAGAGACTTTAGTCTTAGTGGGCAAGTCGATATAAACAAAAAGAGAACTTAAGATGTGAAGTCTGGGCTGCAAGGACCTTAAGGACCTTATTGTGCTACAATTACCTCAATTTATCTCAAAATAGGTCGTCGCGAATATTGAAGATACTTGAGAATAATATTACCAGACCAAATTGAAAGTATGCACACTCTACAATTCTTCTCAAGGATTTTGTCACATTTTTCTACTTCTTCTTAGAAGCTTAATTCAAGAGAAACTGGATATGTTCGTTCTTGCTACGTGAATAATTTGGAAACCATGTTCCAAATGTTTCCTCACGTTTTTGCGACTTTGCAGCTTCTTTGTTAAACAACTTTAGCCTTACAACTTCTCAACATGATGCATTTCCTGACTTTAGGAGTAGAGGTGTTCGTACTTGAGATTTCTTTTGGGATCTGCTGTACCCCAAACGATACTCTGCCTGTACATGCATGTGCGTGTAGTACAGAGTCATAGAGGGTGGAGGGATTTTTGCTACCTTGTATTAGATAATTGCTTTCTGTTAGGTCGGATGTGACCGGTGTAAACGGTGAATGTGACGATAACTACAAGTAATAAATAAGAACTAGAGTTCTGTTATGTATAAGGAACTAATAGCAAGTGAAATTACTAAAGGGTCCAGGAAATTTGTATACCCTTGTCAACAGCGAACATGTGGAATCCATGCAAACATCTGTAAGGAGAAACGTACCTGAGTATTTTACTAGAGGTGGAAATTTTATAACTTTTCTCTTTTTCTCTCTACTTCCATTCTTGGCACTAGCTAGAGATGGATCTTTAGGATCTTTTCTATGGTTTTGTGGGTTTTCAGCCTTTTTACCCTTTGGGTACCAGGGGCTTTCAATATTTACCATTCAGAATTTGTCAACTATGCCTCGTTATCATGCTCAAAGAGCTCCGCATCCTTTTTCTTTGCCTATGCATAACATGCAGTTGCAGCCGTGAGAACTATGTATTTGATTCACATTTAAGTTTTGGATCTCAAGCTTTATCTTGAGTGTTAGAAGAGAAACATGAAAACGTAAATACTTCCCAGGTTCGTCAGTGCTTATGTACAACATATCCAAAAGACTTCTCTCAAGCAGATTGAATCTGGATTATTCTAGGTTAGAAAAATTGTTAGCATGAAATTCAAGACACTTCTTAGTCACCATGTCATATTTTAGCCACAAGGATTTCGAAACCAAAGCAAGCATAAATAATGCGAAATAGACAAGAATTCTTACCACATATAAAATATCACTACATTCTTGAAAATGAATACGATTTTTCAATTTTTAAGAGACCATATTCGACATATTTAACTTTAAGTAAAATTTCCAGTAAGAACTATGTGACGAGTTTCTTGTTTACCAGCAGGAATGCATGAGTGACAGTTATTGGACGTGGAAAGGTTGAACTAACCGTCTTGCGTATTCACGTTAACTTAGTTTATAGTGCTCATAGTTGTTGTATAGTTTTACACACCTGAATAATATTCGATACACCTTAAAAAATGATAATATCTTGTAAAGAAGTGAATGGTAAATTTTTCTACAAACAGATACTTATATCTTTTTTCAAACAATTACTATGAGAAATGACGTCTTCAGATTCGCACACGCCGACAAGTCTGCGTAGTCTGCAAGAAGATTCAAAATCAGCCAGCGCTTATGAAACTAAATTGCGAATATGCTTAAAAACGGTTTT